AGCACTAACACCTGTACCACAGCACTAACACGTACCACAGCACTAACACTGTACCACAGCACTAACACTGTACCACAGCACTAACACTGTACCACAGCACTAACACTGTACCACAGCACTAACACTGTACCACAGCACTAACACTGTACCACAGCACTAACACTTACCACAGCCACTAACACTGTACCACAGCACATAACACTGTACCACAGCACTAACACTGTACCACAGCACTGACACTGTACCACAGCACTAACACTGTACACAGCACTAACACTGTACCACAGCACTAACACTGTACCACAGCACTAACACTGTACCACAGCACTAACACTGTACCACAGCACTAACACTGTACCACAGCACTAACACTGTACCACAGCACTAACACTGTACCACAGCACTAACACTGTACCACAGCACTACAACACTATACCACAGCACTAACACTGTACCACAGCACTAACACTGTACCACAGCACTAACACTGTACCACAGACTAACACTGTACCACAGCACTAACACTGTACCACAGCACTAACAACTGTACCACAGCACTAACACTGTACCACAGCACTAACACTGTACCACAGCACTAACACTGTACACAGCACTAAAAAACTGTACCACAGCACTAACACGCGTACCCACAGCACTAACACTGTACCACAGCACTAACACTGTACCACAGCACTAACACTGTACCACAGCACTAACACTGTCACACAGCACTAACACTGTACCACAGCACTAACACACTGTCACCACAGCACTAACACTGTACCACAATCACTAACACTGTACCACAGCACTAAACACTGTACCACAGCACTAACACTGTACCACAGCACAACACTGTACCACAGCACTAACACTACACATACACAACTAACAACACTGTACCACAGCACTAACAACACTGTACCACAGCACTAACACTGTACCACAGCACTAACACTATACCACAGCACTAACACTGTACCACAGCACTAACAACACTGTACCACAGCACTAACACCTGTACCACAGCACTAACACTGCACCACAGCACTAACACTGTACCACAGCACTAACAACACTGTACCACAGCACTAACACTGTACCACAGCACTAACACTGTACCACAGCACTAACACTGTACCACAGCACTAACAACACTGTACCACAGCACTAACAACACTAGTACCACAGCACTAACAACACTGTACCACAGCATAAACACTGTACCACAGCACTAACACTGTACACAGCACGACACTGCTACACCTAACACTGTACCACAGCACTAACACTGTACCACAGCACTAACACTGTACCACAGCACTAACACTGTACCACAGCACTAACAACACTGTACCACAGCACTAACAACACTGTACCACAGCACTAATAACACTGTACCACAGCACTAACACTGTACCACAGCACTAACACTGTACCACAGCACTAACACTGTACCACAGCACTAACACTGTACCACAGCACTAACACTGTACCACAGCACTAACACTGTACTCACAGCACTAACACTGTACACACAATTAACACTGTAACCACAGCACTAACACTAGTACCACAGCACTAACACTGTACACAGCCTAACTCTGTACCACAGCACTAACACTGTACCACAGCACTAACACTGTACACAGCACTAACACTGTACACACACAACACTGTACCACAGCACTAACCTGTACACGCACTAACACTGTACCACAGCACTAACACTGTACCACAGCACTAACACTGTACCACAGCACTAACACTGTACCACAGCACTAACACTGTACCAACAGCACTAACACTGTACCACAGCACTAACACACTGTAGCCACGCACTAACACTGTACCACAGCATACTAACACTGTACCACAGCACTAACACTTACTACAGCACTAACACTGTACACAGCACTCACATGCACAGCAACTAACACTGTACCACAGCACTAACATTCACAGCACTAACACTTACACACACTAACACTGTACCACAGCACTAAACACTGTTACCACAGCACTAACAACTGTACCACAGCACTAACACTATACCACAGCACTAACACTGTACCACAGCAATAACACTGTACCACAGCACTAACACTGTACCACAGCACTAACACTGTGCCACAGCACTAAACTGTACCACAGCACTAACACTGTACCACAGCACTAACATGCACCACAGCACTAACACTGTACCACAGCAATAACACTGTACCACAGCACTAACAACACTGTGCCACAGCACTAAACACTGTACCACAGCATTACATTGTACACACTAACACTGTACCACAGCAATAAACTGTACCACAGCACTAACACTGATACCACAGCAATAACACTGTACACAGCACTAACACTGTACCACAGCACTAACTGCTGTACCACAGCACTAACACTTCCACAGCACTAGCAACTGCTGTACCACAGCACTAAACACTGTACCACAGCAATAACACACTGTACCACAGCACTAACACACTTACCACAGCACTAACACCATACCAGCACTAACACTGTACCACAACACTAACACTGTACCACAGCACTAACACTGTACCACAGCACTTAACAACTGCTCACCACAGCACTAACACTGTCTACAGCACTAACACTGCTTACAGCAATAACACTGTACCACAGCACTAACACTGTGCCACAGCACTAATACTGTACCACACACTAACACGACCACTAACTACACTGCACCACAGCACTAACACTGTACACACAAACACTGTACAACACTAACGTGCACAGCACTAACACTGTACCACAGCTTAACATTGTAATCACTAACACTGTACCACAGCAATACACTGTACCACAGCACTAACACTGTACCACAGCAATAACACTGTACCACAGCACTAACACTGTACCACAGCACATAACACTGTACCACAGCACTAACACTTCCACAGCACTAACAACTGCGTACCACAGCACTAACACTGTACACAGAAATAACACTGTACCACAGCACTAACACACTACCACAGCACTAACACCTTACACAGCACTAACACTGTAACCACAACACTAACACTGTACCACAGCACTAACACTGTACCACAGCACTAACACTGTGACACAGCACTAACACTGTACCACATGCACTAACACTGTACCACAGCACTAGCACGTACCAGAACACTGCTGTACCACAGCACTAACACTCTACTACAAGCACTAACACTGTCCACAGCAGCTAACACTGTACCACAGAACTAACAATGTACCACAGCACTAACACTGTACCACAGCAGTAACACTGTCCACAGAACTAACAATGTACCACAGCACTAACACTGTACCACAGCATAACACTGTACCACAGAACTAACAATGTACCCCAGCACAAACACTGTACCACAGCACTAACAACACTGTCCACAGCACTAACAATGTACCACAGCACATTGTACAGCACTAACACTGTACCACAGCAATAAACTGTACCACAGCACTAACACTGCACCACAGCACTAACACTGCACACACACTAACACTGTACCACAGCAATAACATGTACCACAGCACTAACACTTCCACAGCACTAACACGTACCACAGCATTAACATGTACCACAACAGTAAAGCAAAATGTACCACAGCACTAACACTGTACCACAGCAATAACACTGTACCACAGCACTAACACTGTACCACAGCACTAACTGCTGTACCACAGCACTAACACTTCCACAGCACTAGCAACTGCTGTACCACAGCACTAACACTGTACCACAGCAATAACACTGTACCACAGCACTAACACACTACCACAGCACTAACACCATACCGCAGCACTAACACTGTACCACAACACTAACACTGTACCACAGCACTAACACTGTACCACAGCACTAGTAACAACTGCTCTACCACAGCACTAACACTGTGCCACAGCACTAACACTGCTTACAGCAATAACACTGTACCACAGCACTAACACTGTGCCACAGCACTAATACTGTACCACAGCACTAACACTGTACCACAGCACTAACACTGCACCACAGCACTAACACTGTACCACAGCAATAACACTGTACCACAGCACTAACACTGTGCCACAGCACTAACACTGTACCACAGCATTAACATTGTAGATCACTAACACTGTACCACAGCAATAACTGTACCACAGCACTAACACTGTACCACAGCAATAACACTGTACCACAGCACTAACACTGTACCACAGCACTAACTGCTGTACCACAGCACTAACACTTCCACAGCACTAACAACTGCTGTACCACAGCACTAACACTGTACCACAGAAATAACACTGTACCACAGCACTAACACACTACCACAGCACTAACACCTTACCACAGCACTAACACTGTACCACAACACTAACACTGTACCACAGCACTAACTGTACCACAGCACTAACACTGTACCACAGCACTAACACTGTACCACAGCACTAACACTGTACCACAGCACTAGCACTGTACCAGAACACTGCTGTACCACAGCACTAACACTCTACTACAGCACTAACACTGTACCACAGCAGTAACACTGTACCACAGAACTAACAATGTACCACAGCACTAACACTGTACCACAGCAGTAACACTGTACCACAGAACTAACAATGTACCACAGCACTAACACTGTACCACAGCAGTAACACTGTACCACAGAACTAACAATGTACCACAGCACTAACACTGTACCACAGCACTAACACTGTACCACAGAACTAACAATGTACCACAGCACTAACACTGTACCACAACACTAACAACACTGTACCACAGCACTAACAATGTACCACAGCACTATCACTGTACCACAACACTAACAACACTGTACCACAGCACTAACAATGTACCACAGCACTATCACTGTACCACAACACTAACAACACTGTACCAAAGCACTAACAATGTACCACAGCACTAACAACTGCTGTACCACAGCACTAACAACACCTGCTGTACCACAGCACTAACAACTGCTGCACCACAGAACGCCCTGGTGGACGACAATGAGAGGCTGGTGGTGGCCGACCATCAAGACTGTAAGGAGTTCCGCTACAAACAACTGGAAGATGTAATTAAACTCACCTTCTCCAGGGAGTTTGACACCTGTCATCCCAAGCACTACGCTATTCAGGTGTGTAGTGTGCGTCAGGTGTGTGGTATCAGGTGTAGAATGTATCAGGTGTGTAGTGTCATGAGTACTGTGAATGTTAGAGGTGTGATATCAGGTGCGTTTTCGCTCTTAATTTTTTTTTTTTTTGGTATCGTACCTTGATGTCTGGCTCTTCTCTTGAAATTAATGAGTTTTTAAAGATGCAGGGAGGGTAGGGCAGGCCAGAACAGCCAGGCCACATATTACGTAGGTGTAGTCTAGTGGCCTGCACACCTGGCTGTAGTATGGTAACCATGGTAGAAACGATGAAAGAGCAGCAAAGCAAGCAATAATACGTAAAGTATTTACAGAGGATGTGTATAAGAGACACCACTAATTGTCAGGGGTTCAAGACTGTTCAACTCCTCCCAACATACATAAGGGGGGATTACCACTAGACTCCCTGGCTGTCTTCAAGAAGGCATTGGACAGACACCTAAAGTCATTACCTGATCAGACGGCCTGTGGTTCGTACTTTGGTTTACATGTGGCCAACAGTAATAGCCTGGTTGATAAGGCTCTGATCCACCATAAGGCCTGGTCACAGACTGGGCCGCGGTGGGGTTGACCCCCAAAGCCCTCTCCGGGAATACAGTAATACAATGGAAGCAAGACACGGTGAGAACCGCCTTCGACCCGATTTGGAAGTATATCTGCCAAAACTGATTCATAGATTACCACATCGGTTCACAACTTTGGCTTCCTTGTGACTGGCTGGTTGAACCAAGATACTAGCGTAACTAGGAGACCATACTTATTTCCTTAGCACCTGGTTCATTGGTCGGGAGGCAGCCTATGTGGGTGTGTGGCATACACCGAATATATGTAACATACTCTTAGCATACCACACTCCCACCCCAATAAGACTTTAATAGCCAGAACTACCATCTCTCAGTGGGTAGTGTGCCACCATGGCACGAATTACTGCTGGAACCAGCATGCCACACTCCCACCCAAATAAGACTTTAATAGCCAGAACTACCATCCCTCAGTGGGTAGTGTGCCACCATGGCACGAATTACTGCTGGAACCGCCTTTCCTCTCATCCATCCAGCTCATGAAATCGTGGTCAACCCGAAGGAAGAAGCGAGACAGCAGACAGTACCTGGAGATACCTGGAGAGAATCCCGGAGGTCAACGTCCCCACGGCCCGGTCTGCGACCAGGTCGCTTAGGTTCAAGACACTTGCAGATGGGCGCAAGTGTCTCCTCACTAAAAAAAACTAATGGCCGGATTTACTCAGATTTTACATTATGGCCATAAGGAATACAAATAAGCTTAGTGCCCATTTTTGCTACAGTGTTGGGTAGTAGTGTTGTGTGTGTTGCTACAGTGTTGGGTAGTAGTGTTGTGTGTGTTGCTACAGTGTTGGGTAGTAGTGTTGTGTGTGTATTGCTACAGTGTTGGGTAGTAGTGTTGTGTGTGTTGCTACAGTGTTGGGTAGTAGTGTTGTGTGTGTTGCTACAGTGTTGGGTAGTAGTGTTGTGTGTGTTGCTACAGTGTTGGGTAGTAGTGTTGTGTGTGTTGCTACAGTGTTGGGTAGGAGTGTTGTGTGTGTTGCTACAGTGTTGGGTAGGAGTGTTGTGTGTTGCTACAGTGTTGGGTAGTAGTGTTGTGTGTGTTGCTACAGTGTTGGGTAGTAGTGTTGTGTGTGTTGCTACAGTGTTGGGTAGGAGTGTTGTGTGTTGCTACAGTGTTGGGCAGTAGTGTTGTGTGTGTTGCTACAGTGTTGGGTAGTAGTGTTGTGTGTGTTGCTACAGTGTTGGGTAGTAGTGTTGTGTGTGTTGCTACAGTGTTGGGTAGTAGTGTTGTGTGTGTTGCTACAGTGTTGGATAGTAGTGTTGTGTGTGTTGCTACAGTGTTGGGTAGTAGTGTTGTGTGTGTTGCTACAGTGTTGGGTAGTAGTGTTTGTGTGTGTTGCTACAGTGTTGGGTAGTAGTGTTGTGTGTGTTGCTACAGTGTTGGGTAGTAGTGTTGTGTGTGTTGCTACAGTGTTGGGTAGTAGTGTTGTGTGTGTTGCTACAGTGTTGGGTAGGAGTGTTGTGTGTGTTGCTACAGTGTTGGGTAGTAGTGTTGTGTGTGTTGCTACAGTGTTGGGTAGTAGTGTTGTGTGTGTGTTGCTACAGTGTTGGGCAGTAGTGTTGTGTGTGTTGCTACAGTGTTGGGTAGTAGTGTTCTGGGAGGCGGGAGGTGAAGGATAGGAACCAAGTTAACATGATATGTATTCACCTAATTGTGGTTGCAGGTGTCGAGTCATAGCTCCTGGCCCCGCCTCTTCACTGGCCGCTACTGTATCACGTGGGCCCGGTGGCCTGGTGGCTAAAGCTCCCGCTTCACACACGGAGGGCCCGGGTTCGATTCCCGGCGGGTGGAAATTCCGACACGTTTCCTTACACCTATTGTCCTGTTCACCTAGCAGCAAATAGGTACCTGGGTGTTAGTCGACTGGTGTGGGTCGCATCCTGGGGAACAAGATTAAGGACCACAATGGAAATAAGTTAGACAGTCCTCGATGACGCACTGACTTTCTTGGGTTATCCTGGGTGGCTAACCCTCCGGGGTTAAAAATCCGAACGAAATCTTATCTTATCTTATCTTATCTTACTCTCCCTGAACCATAAGCTTTATCATACTTCTGCTTAAAGCTATGATCCTGCCTCCACTACATCGCTTCCCCAACTATTCCACTTCCTGCCACTCTATGACTGAAGAAATGCTTCCTAACATCCCATTGGCTCATCTGAGTCTTCAACTTCCAACTGTGTTCCTTTGTTTCTGTGTCCCATCTCTGGAACATCCTGTCTTTGTCCATCTTGTCTGTTCCACGCAGTATTTTGTATGTTGTTATCATGTCTCCCCTAACCCTCTTGTCCTCCAGTGTCATCAGGCCGATTTCCCTCAACCTTTCTTCGTAGGACATTCCCTTTAGCTCTGGAACTAGCCTTGTCGCAAACCTTAGCACTTTCTCTAATTTCTTGACGTGCTTGACCAGGTGTGGGTTCCAAACAGGTGCTGCATACTCCAGTATGGGCCTGATGTACACAGTGTACAGTGTCTTGAACGATGACTTACGAAGGTATCGGAACGCTGTTCTCAGGTTTGCCAGGCGCCCATATGCTGCAGCAGTTATCTGATTGATGTGTGCCTCAGGAGATATGCTCGGTGTTATACTCACCCCAAGATCTTTCTCCTTGAGCGAGGTTTGCAGTCTTTGGCCACCTAGCCTATACTCTGTCCGCGGTCTTCTTTGCCCTTCCCCGATCTTCATGACTTTGCATTTGGCGAGATTAAATTCGAGAAGCCAGTTGCTGGACCAGGTGTCCAGCCTGTCCAGGTCTCTTTCGAGTCCTACCTGATCCTCATCTGATTTAATTCTCCTCATTAACTTCACATCATCTGCAAACAGGGACACTTCTGAGTCTAACCCTTTCATCATATCATTCACATATACCAGAAACAGCACTGTCCTAGGACCTACCCCTGTGGGACCCCGCTCATCACAGGCGCCCACTGTGATATCTCATCAAGTACCATTACTCGTTGTTGCCTCCCTGTCAGGTATTCTCTGATCCATTGCAGCCCCCTTCCTGTTATATGCACCTGATCCTCTAGTTTCTGCACCAATCTCCTGTGAGTTACTGTGTCGAAGGCCTTCTTTCAGTCCAAGAAGATGCAATCAACCCACCTCTCTCTCTCGTGTCTTACTTCTGTTACTTTATCATAAAACTCCAGTAGGTTTGAGACACAGGGTTTGCCTTCCATAAACCCGTGCTGGTTGTCGTTTATACTCTTGTTCCATTCCAGGTGTTCCACCACTCTCCTCCTGATAATCTTCTCCATTACTTTGCATAGTATACAGGTCAGTGACACAGGTCTATAGTTTAGTGCCTCTTTTCTGTCTCCTTTTTTTAAAAATGGGAACTACATTTGCCGTCTTCCATACCTCGGGTAGTTGTCCAGTTTCAAGGGACGTGTTGAAGATTGTGGTTAGTGGCACACACAGCATTTCTGCTCCCTCTGTAAGGACCCACGGGGAGATGTCTGGTCCCATTGCCTTTCAGGTATCAAGGTCACTTAGCAGCTTCTTCACCTCCTCCTCAGTTGTATGTCATCCAACACTTGTTGGTGTCCCCCTCTGTTCTGTCCTCCCAGAGGTCTTCTTGTCTCCACTGTAAATACTTAAATCTCATGTTGAACTCCTCACATACTTCTTGATCGCTTCTTGTGAGTTCCCCACCTTCTTTCCTCATCTTGATCACCTGGTCTTTGACTGTTGTCTTCCGCCTAATGTGGATATACAGCAGTTTTGGGTCAGACTTGGCTTTCGATGCTATGTCGTTTTCGTACTGTCGCTGGGCCTTCCTCCTTACCTGTGCATACTCGTTTCTGGCTCTTCGACTGATCTCTCAATTTCCCTGGGTCCTTTGCCTTCTGTATCTTTTCCATTCTCTGTTGCACTTAATTTTTGCCTCCCTACACCTTTGGGTAAACCAAGGACTCGCTTTGGTCTTCCCATTATTTCTATTGCCCTTGGGAACAAACCTTTCCTCTGCCTCCCTGCATTTTGTTACTTATTCCATCATTTCATTTACTGACTTTCCTTCCAGTTTTCTGCCCCACAGAACCTCCTGCAGGAAGTTCCTCATACCTGTGTAGTCCCCTTCTTTATAGTTTGGCTTTTCCCATCCAAGTCCTGTTACGATCTCTACTTGTAATTCTTCTATGTATTCAATAAACAGAATCATGTGATCACTAAACCATACCACGGGCGGGGATAGAACCCGCGATTTCGTGAGTCATGTTGACAGCTTTGAGGGGACTTGAGATAGAGTTCGTCACGGCCCCACTAGCTGGAGATTCGTCTGTAAAAACTTGAATTTGTGGTCACAGTGGTGCCGATGCTAACCTTCCTATGGTGTAGAAATATAAATAGTTGGACGAATCTTATTGTGGCTAGCTGGTCCAGTGGCTAACGCGACGGTCTGGAGTTTTGAGACTCTCTGACCGCGGGTTCTATCCAAACCAGTGGTATGGTTTGTTTGCAATCGTGGCATTACGACTTCGTGAGTCATGTGATCACTAGTTCCAAGGGGCCTCTCATATGTGATGTCCTCAATGTCTGAACTGCTCAGGGTGAACACAAGGTCCAGTCTTGCTGGTTCATCTTCCCCTCTCTCTCTGGTAGTGTCCTTAATTTGTGTCTCTCTCTCTCTGGTAGTATCCTTAACGTGTGTGTCTCTCTCTCTGGTAGTCCTTAACATGTGTGTGTCTCTCTGGTAGTGTCCTTAACATGTGTGTGTCTCTCTGGTAGTGTTCTTAACATGTGTGTGTGTCTCTGGTAGTGTCCTTAACATGTGTGTGTCTCTCTGGTAGTGTCCTTAACATGTGTGTGTGTCTCTCTGGTAGTGTCCTTAACATGTGTGTGTGTCTCTCTGGTAGTGTCCTTAACATGTGTGTGTGTCTCTCTGGTAGTGTCCTTAACATGTGTGTGTCTCTGGTAGTGTCCGTAACATGTGTGTGTCTCTCTGGTAGTGTCCTTAACATGTGTGTGTCTCTGGTAGTGTCCTTAACATGTGTGTGTCTCTCTGGTAGTGTCCTTAACGTGTGTATGTGTGTGTGTGTGTGTGTGTGTGTGTGTGTGTGTGTATGTATGTGTGTGTGTGTGTGTGTGTATGTGTGTGTGTTTTGAGTCACTATTTTATACCACTAACCTGCACCGTGTTGTACAGGGTGGAACAACGCACGTGGTCTGGTCTTGGGGGTCAGGACCTCTGTACAGGCTGGACGGAGTACTGGCTAAAGGTGACAAGACGGGACTCACACGAGTGCAGCTGCTCAAGGCTGTACCTCCAGAGACTCATCGTGACCAGGACAATTCTCAGCTCTTGGAGGTAAATCATCGGTACACACACACTCATCACTATCCTCAACAGAAATCTTCATATAAAATTACTTCACATAAATAATCTGAATATAAGATTTTGTACAAATTTGTAACCCTGAGGGTTAGCCATCCAGGATAACCCAGGGGAGGGTTAGCCACCCACTATAACCCAGGGGAGGGTTAGCAATCCAGGATAACCCAGGGGAAGATTAAGCATCCAGGATAACCCAGGGGAGGGTTAGCCACTCAGTATAACCCAGGGGGGGTAGCAATCCAGGATAACCCAGGGGAAGATTAGCCATCCAGGATAACCCAGGGGAGGGTTAGCCATCCAGGATAACCCAGGGAAGGGTTAGCCATCCAGGATAACCCAGGAGAGGGTTAGCCATCCAGGATAACCCAGGGGAGGGTTAGCCATCCAGGATAACTCAGGGGAGGCTTAGTCATCCAGGATAACCCAGGAGAGAGTGTGTCATCCAGGATAACTCTGAGGAAGGTTAGCCACCCAGGATAACCCAGGGAAGGGTTAGCCATCCAGGATAACCCAGGGAAGGGTTAGCCACCCAGGATAACCCAGGAGAGGGTTAGCCATCCAGGATAACCCGGGGGAGGGTTAGCCATCCAGGATAACCCAGGGGAGGGTTAGCCATCCAGGATAACCCAAGAATTTCAGCGGCAGTTACCACTGTGATAGTTACACAGTGGTAACACCAGCAGTGTTGCTACACTATTCTATATGATAGTTACACAGTGGTAACACCAGTAGTGTTGCTACACTATTCTATATGATAGTTACACAGTGGTAACACCAGCAGTGTTGCTACACTATATGATAGTTACACAGTGGTAACACCAGCATGTTTGCTTACACTATATGATAGTTACACAGTGGCAACACCAGCAGTGTTGCTACACTATATGATAGTTACACAGTGGTAACACCAGCAGTGTTGCTACACTATATGATAGTTACACAGTGGTAACACCAGCAGTGTTGCTACACTATATGATAGTTACACAGTGGCAACACCAGCAGTGTTGCTACATTATATGATAGTTACACAGTGGTAACACCAGCAGTGTTGCTACACTATATGATAGTTACACAGTGGTAACACCAGCAGTGTTGCTACACTATATGATAGTTACACAGTGGTAACACCAGCAGTGTTGCTACACTATATGATAGTTACACAGTGGTAACACCAGCAGTGTTGCTACACTATTCTATATGATAGTTACACAGTGGTAACACCAGCAGTGTTGCTACACTATATGATAGTTACACAGTGGTAACACCAGCAGTGTGTTTGCTACACTATATGATAGTTACACAGTGGTAACACCAGCAGTGTTGCTACAAATATTCTATATGATAGTTACACAGTGGTAACACCAGCAGTGTTGCTACACTATTCTATATGATAGTTACACAGTGGTAACACCAGCAGTGTTGCTACACTATTCTATATGATAGTTACACAGTGGTAACACCAGCAGTGTTGCTACACTATTCTATATGATAGTTACACAGTGGTAACACCCAGCAGTGTTGCTACACTATTCTATATGATAGTTACACAGTGGTAACACCAGCAGTGTTGTTACACTATTATATATGATAGTTACACAGTGGTAACACCAGCAGTGTTGCTACACTATTCTATATGATAGTTACACAGTGGTAACACCAGCAGTGTTGCTACACTATTCTATATGATAGTTACACAGTGGTAACACCAGCAGTGTTGCTACACTATTCTATATGATAGTTACACAGTGGTAACACCAGCAGTGTTGCTACACTATTCTATATGATAGTTACACAGTGGTAACACCAGCAGTGTTGCTACACTATATGATAGTTACACAGTGGTAACACCAGCAGTGTTGTTACACTATTCTATATGATAGTTACACAGTGGTAACACCAGCAGTGTTTGCTACACTATTCTATATGATAGTTACACAGTGGTAACACCAGCAGTGTTGCTACACTATTCTATATGATAGTTACAGTGGTAACACCAGCAGTGTTGTTACACTATTCTATATGATAGTTACAGTGGTAACACCAGCAGTGTTGCTACACTATTCTATATGATAGTTACAGTGGTAACACCAGCAGTGTTGCTACAATATATGATAGTTACGCAGTGGTAACACCAGCAGTGTTGCTACAATATATGATAGTCACACAGTGGTGACACCAGCAGTGTGTTGCTACACTATTCTTCAGCAGTGTCAGCCTGAGCTGGCAGACTTCAGCAGTGTCAGCCTGAGCTGGTAGACTTTAGCAGTGTCAGCCTGAGCTGGCAGACTTCAGTAGTGTCAGCCTGAGCTGGTAGACTTCAGCAGTGTCAGTCTGAGCTGGCAGACTTCAGCAGTGTCAGCCTGAGCTGGCAGACTTCAGCAGTGCCAGCCTGAGCTGGCAGACTTCAGCAGTGTCAGCCTGAGCTAGCAGACTTCAGCAGTGTCAGCCTGAGCTAGCAGACTTCAGCAGTGTCAGCCTGAGCTGGTAGACTTCAGCAGTGTCAGCCTGAGCTGGGAGACTTCAGCAGTGTCAGCCTGAGATGGCAGACTTCAGCAATGTCAGCCTGAGCTGGCAGACTTCAGCAGTGTCAGCCTGAGCTGGCAGACTTCAGCAGTGCCAGCCTGAGCTGGCAGACTTCTCCAGTGTCAGCCTGAGCTGGCAGACTTCAGCAGTGTCAGCCTGAGCTGGCAGACTTCAGCAGTGTCAGCCTGAGCTAGCAGACTTCAGCAGTGTCAGCCTGAGCTGGCAGACTTCAGCAGTGTCAGCCTGAGCTGGCAGACTTCAGCAGTGCCAGCCTGAGCTGGCAGACTTCAGCAGTGCCAGCCTGAGCTGGCAGACTTCAGCAGTGTCAGCCTGAGCTGGCAGACTTCAGCAGTGTCAATCTGAGCTGGCAGACTTCAGCAGTGCCAGCCTGAGCTGGCAGACTTCAGCAGTGTCAGCCTGAGCTGGGAGACTTCAGCAGTGTCAGCCTGAGCTGGGAGACTTCAGCAGTGTCAGCCTGAGCTGGGAGACTTCAGCAGTGTCAGCCTGAGATGGCAGACTTCAGCAATGTCAGCCTGAGCTGGCAGACTTCAGCAGTGTCAGCCTGAGCTGGCAGACTTCAGCAGTCCCAGCCTGAGCTGGCAGACTTCTCCAGTGTCAGCCTGAGCTGGCAGACTTCAGCAGTGTCAGCCTGAGCTGGCAGACTTCAGCAGTGTCAGCCTGAGCTAGCAGACTTCAGCAGTGTCATCCTGAGCTGGCAGACTTCAGCAGTGTCAGCCTGAGCTGGCAGACTTCAGTAGTGCCAGCCTGAGCTGGCAGACTTCAGCAGTGCCAGCCTGAGCTGGCAGACTTCAGCAGTGCCAGCCTGAGCTGGCAGACTTCAGTAGTGCCAGCCTGAGCTGAGAGACTTCAGCAGTGCCAGCCTGAGCTGGGAGACTTCAGCAGTGCCAGCCTGAGCTGGCAGACTTCAGCAGTGCCAGCCTGAGCTCACAGACTTCAGCAGTGCCAGCCTGAGATGGCAGACTTCAGCAATGTCAGCCTGAGCTGGCAGACTTCAGTAGTGTCAGCCTGAGCTGGCAGACTTCAGCAGTCCCAGCCTGAGCTGGCAGACTTCAGCAGTGCCAGCCTGAGCTGGCAGACTTCAGCAGTGCCAGCCTGAGCTGGGAGACTCCAGTAATGTAATGAGGATATCGTCAAGTATTCCAGCAAGGGTTTACCAACGATAGGAACTTCCATGTATTCCCTGGTTCCAGCGTGTCTCCATCTCCCAGCTTTGTTTATCAATCAGGATAGTACATTAATATTAAAACTAGTTTTGTAAGTAACTATTCACATATTTCTGATAGTTTATATGTGAGTTTGTCACATATTTCGTTTATCTTTAGTGAGGCCTGGTCATAGACAGGGCAGCGGGAGGCACTGACTCCCGAAACACACTCCTGGTGTACCCTATTCCCATCCTATGTACTAGCAATGTCTTGGGCTCTCAGTGAGCAGTTTGAGAGCAGTAATTCGAAAAGATCGTCAGATGAACTTTACTGACTTAAGACTGAGAGAGACTGACACCAGTCAGTCCATCTATCATTCTATCATGCAGGAGGCGCCACACGTCTATTGCGCATCCAGCAAAATAAGCAGACTTGGATGTCACTACTGCCCGGCTCCGGCTGGGTTACAAGTATCTTTGGAAGGTTGAATCACCACCAGATGTAGACCAAACCAAATATAAACTTTGCCAGCTGGACGATCGTCACACCTTGCGTCATTATGTACTGGAATGCGTCACACCTTGAGCCAGTAAGTGCTGGAATGCGTCACACCTGCGTCATTTTGTATTGGAATGAGTCACACCTTGAACCATCATGTGCTGGAATGTGTCAAACTTCGTGAATTCAGTGACAACTCACTCAGAGACGTTCAGGAACTGTCGAAGTATTTTATCCACAGTGGTATATCACCAACCACTCTGGAAATAATACCCTGACTTTGCCCACTGTAAATTTCACATGACCACTACAACTTTGGTTTCCAGTGACTCACAGGCAATACCTTTCCTCCCAGGTACGGGCCAGGAAAGTTGAAGTTCCAGCAGAGGAGACAACATATTGGTGTACGGTGCAGAAGCTTCCAGACATCTTCCAGGAGAAGCATCATGTCTTGGAGGTATGTCTTAAGTCAGGCAGGAGATGCTAGGAGACTAGGATGTCTTTATGTGACCAGTTAATAGGGGTGAAATTGCTTTTGTGTCACGATATGTATGCTTACCAACCTAATAACACCCTCACACACGGTTATTACCACACAGTATAGTGACATCACCCTCACACTGTTACTACCACACAGTATAGTGACATCACCCTCACACAGTTACTACCACACAGTATAGTGACATCACTCTCACACACTGTTACTACCACACAGTATAGTGACATCACTCTCACACACTGTTACTACCACACAGTATAGTGACATCACCCTTACACACTGTTACTACCACACAGTATAGTGACATCACCCTTACACTGTTACTACCACACAGTATAGTGACATCACTCTCACACACTGTTACTACCACACAGTATAGTGACATCACCCTCACACTGTTACTACCACACAGTATAGTGACATCACTCTCACACTGTTACTACCACACAGTATAGTGACATCACCCTTACACACTGTTACTACCACACAGTATAGTGACATCACTCTCACACACTGTTACCACCACCCAGTATAGTAACATCACTCTCACACACTGTTACCACCACCCAGTATAGTAACATTACCCTCACACACTGTTACCACCACCCAGTACAGTAACATTACCCTCACACACTGTTACCACCACCCAGTATAGTAACATTACCCTCACACACTGTTACCACCACCCAGTATAGTAACATTACCCTCACACACTGTTACCATCACCCAGATAAGTAACATTACCCTCACACACTGTTACCACCACCCAGTATAGTAACATTACCCTCACACACTGTTACCAACACCCAGTATAGTAACATTACCCTCACACACTGTTACCACCACCCAGTATAGTAACATTACCCTCACACACTGTTACCACCACCCAGTACAGTAACATTACCCTCACACACTGTTACCACCACCCAGTATAGTAACATTACCCTCACACACTGTTACCACCACCCAGTATAGTGACATCACCCTCACACACTGTTACCACCACCCAGTATAGTGACATCACCCTCACACACTGTTACCACCACCCAGTATAGTAACATTACCCTCACACACTGTTACCACCACCCAGTATAGTAACATTACCCTCACACACTGTTACCACCACCCAGTATAGTAACATTACCCTCACACACTGTTACCACCACCCAGTATAGTAACATTACCCTCACACACTGTTACCACCACTCAGTATAGTAACATTACCCTCACACACTGTTACCACCACCCAGTATAGTAATACCTGCCAGGCTAATTTAAGCCTCTGCCTTATTAGCCGTACTGTATGTAAGGAGCTTTATTCTATTAATTAAAATACAACAAATACAACTGGTAAATAAAGTCCAGTGGTTGGTGGAGTTTGAAGCCTATCGACTACACTAGGGTCAAGCTGACCTTGTTACCACAAGTGATCTCTCAGTGTATATTTATAGATATACACTTCTCAGTGTATATACACTGAGATATACACTTCTCAGTGTATATACACTGAGATATACACTTCTCAGTGTATATACACTGAGATATACACTTCTCAGTGTATATACACTGAGATATACACTTCTCAGTGTATATACACTGAGATATACACTTCTCAATGTATATACACTGAGATATACACTTCTCAGTGTATATACACTGAGATATACACTTCTCACTGTATATACACTGAGATATACACTTCTCAGTGTATATACACTGAGATATACACTTCTCAGTGTATATACACTGAGATATACACTTCTCAGTGTATATACACTGAGATATACACCTCTCAGTGTACCCTTTCTAAGTTCACTACAAGTGACAGGGTATGATGACATACCCTACCAGAAGTCTGATGTCCCTGGGTATGGGAGTCACCGTCTAGGTGCCCATAGTTATCCTGAGTCTGGTTGAGTGCCAAAAATACTGCGTGCACTGATACAGTGTGTGTGTGTGTGTGTGTGTGTGTGTGTGTGTGTGTGTGTGTGTGTGTGTGTGTGTGTGTGTGTGTGTGTGTTTGTGTGTGTGTGTGTGTGTGTGTGTGTGTGTGTGTGTGTGTGTGTGTGTGTGCTCACCTAGTTGAGGTTGCAGGGTTCGAGTCCGAGCTCCTGGCCCCGCCTCTTCACTGGTCACTACTAGGTCACTCTCCCTGAACCGTGAGCTTTATCATACCTCTGCTTAAAGCTGTGTATGGATCCTGCCTCCACTACATCGCTTCCCAAACTATTCCACTTCCTGACTACTCAGTGGCTGAAGAAATACCTCCTAACATCCCTGTGATTCATCTGTGTCTTCAACTTCCAACTGTGTCCCCTTGTTACTGTGTCCAATCTCTGGGACATCCTGTCTTTGTCCACCTTGTCAATTCCTCTCAGTATTTTGTATGTCGTTATCATATCCTCCCTACCTCTCCTGTCCTCCAGTGTCGTCAGGTTGATTTCCCTTAACCTCTCCTCGTAGGACATACCTCTTAGCTCTGGGACTAGTCTTGTTGCAAACCTTTGCACTTTCTCTAGTTTCTTTACGTGCTTGGCTAGGTGTGGGTTCCAAACTGGTGCCGCATACTCCAATATGGGCCTAACGTACACGGTGTACAAGGTCCTGAACGATTCCTTATTAAGATGTCGGAATGCTGTTCTGAGGTTTGTTAGGCGCCCATATGCTGCAGCAGTTATTTGGTCGATATGCTCTTCAGGAGATGTGCCTGGTGCTATACTCACCCCAAGATCTTTTTCCTTGAGTGAGGTTTGTAGTCTCTGGTCCCCTAGGTTGTACTCCGTCTGCAGTCTTCTTTGCCCTTCCCCAATCTTCATGACTTTGCACTTGGTGGGATTGAACTCCAGGAGCCAATTGCTGGACCAGGTCTGCAGCCTGTCCAGATCCCTTTGTAGTTCTGCCTGGTCTTCGATCGAGTGAATTCTTCTCATCAACTTCACGTCATCTGCAAACAGGGACACCTCAGAGTCTATTCCTTCCGTCATGTCGTTCACAAATACCAGAAACAGCACTGGTCCTAGGACTGACCCCTGTGGGACCCCGCTGGTCACAGGTGCCCACTCTGACACCTCGCCACGTACCATGACTCGCTGCTGTCTTCCTGACAAGTATTCCCTGATCCATTGTAGTGCCTTCCCTGTTATCCCTGCTTGGTCCTCCAGTTTTTGCACTAATCTCTTGTGTGGAACTGTGTCAAACGCCTTCTTGCAGTCCAAGAAAGTGCAATCCACCCACCCCTCTCTCTCTTGTCTTACTGCTGTCACCTTGTCATAGTACTCCAGTAGGTTTGTGACACAGGATTTCCCGTCCCTGAAACCATGTTGGGTGCTGTTGATGAGATCATTCCTTTCTAGGTGTTCCACCACTCTTCTCCTGACAATCTTCTCCATGACTTTGCATACTATACATGTCAGTGACACTGGTCTGTAGTTTAGTGCTTCATGTCAGTCTCCTTTTTTTAAAGACTGGGACTACATTTGCTGTCTTCCATGCCTCAGGCAATCTCCCTGTTTCGATAGATGTATTGAATATTGTTGTTAGGGGTACACATAGCGCCTCTGCTCCCTCTCTCAGAACCCATCGAGAGATGTTATCTGGCCCCATTGCCTTTGAGGTAACTAGCTCACTCAGTAGTCTCTTCACTTCTTCCTCGGTTGTGTGTACCGTGTCCAGCACCTGGTGATGTGCCACACCTCTCCGTCCCTCTGGAGCCCCTTCTGTCTCCTCTGTGAACACTTCTTTGAATCTCTTGAGTTCCTCACATACTTCACGGTCATTTCTTGTCTCTCCTCCTTCCTTCCTTAGCCTGATGACCTGGTCCTTGACGATTGTTTTCTTCCTGATGTGGCTGTATAACAGCTTTGGGTCAGATTTGGCTTTCGCTGCTATGTCGCTTTCATATTGTCGTTGGGCCTCCCTTCTTATCTGTGCATATTCGTTTCTGGCTCTACGACTGCTCTCCTAATTCTCCTGGGTCCTTTGCCTTCTATATTTCTTCCATTCCCTAGCACACTTGGTTTTTGCCTCCTTGCACCTTTGGGTGAACCATGGGCTCATCCTGGCTTTTTCATTATTCCTGTTTCCCTTGGGTACAAACCTCTCCTCAGCCTCCTTCCACATTGTTGCTACATATTCCATCATCTCATTAACTGACTTCCCTGCCAGTTCTCTGTCCCACTGAACCTCGTTCAGGAAGTTCCTCATTCCCGTGTAGTCCCCTTTCCTGTAGTTTGGTTTCATTCGTCCTGGCCTTCCTGCTTCCCCCTCCTCTTTTAGCTCTACTGTGTATTCGAAGCTCAAAACCACATGATAGCTGGCCCCAAGGGGTCTTTCATATGTGATGTCCTCAATATCTGCACTGCTCAAGGTGAATACTAAGTCCAGTCTTGCTGGTTCATCCTCTCCTCTCTCTCTTGTAGTATCCCTTACGTGTTGGTACATGAAGTTTTCCAGTACCACCTCCATCTTAGCCCTCCATGTATCTTGGCCCCCATGTGGCTCCAAGTTCTCCCAGTCGATCTCCTTGTGGTTAAAGTCACCCATGATCAGGAGCTTTGCCCTGCATGCATGAGCTCTTCTGGCCACTGCAGCCAGTGTGTCAACCATCGCTCTATTGCTCTCGTCATACTCATGCCCTGGTTTCCTGCTGTTCTGTGGTGGGTTATACATCACTGCAATTACCACCTTCGGACCTCCAGAGTGAAGCATTCCCGCTATGTAATCACTTTCTTCTCCGCTGTCTCCTCTCTCCAGCTCATCAAAATTCCATCGATGTTTGATCAGCAGTGCCACTCCTCCACCCCCCCCCTTCCTGTTCCTTCTGGCTTTCCTCAGGAGAGAGAGAGGAAGAGAGGAAAATAAACAAAGAAACGGGGATAGAAGGGAGGGTTAGAGGGTCAATTCACATAAAGGTGTGAAATCCTGTATATGTGTGTATATGTATGTGTGTGTGTGTACTCACCTATTTGTACTCACCTATTTGTGGTTGCAGGGGTCGAGTCCTAGCTCCTGGCCCCGCCTCTTCACCGGTTGCTACTAGGCCCTCTCTCTCCCCGCTCCATGAGCTTTATCAAACCTCGTCTTAAAACTGTGTATGGTTCCTGCCTCCACTACGTCATTTTCTAGGCTATTCCACTGCCTTACAACTCTATGACTGAAGAAATACTTCCTACTATCTCTCTGACTCATTTGTGTCTTCAACTTCCAATTGTGGCCTCTTGTTTCTGTGTCCCCTCCCTGGAACATGTGTGTGTGTGTGTGTGCATGCTTGCTACAGCTATTCAAGTGCCTAACAGCAGATCCTGTACTCACCTAGTGTGTGTGTATGAGTGCATTTATGTAAGCAGTCCTTATTTCCCTCATATGTACTACATATGTTTTGCATATGTACCCAATCTCTTGGTTCCCACTGTACTGAGTGTGCCTAAAATTACGTTCAATTCTGTATGGTAGGCTTCACTAGGCTACCTCTCATACTAGGCTACCTATCATTAACTGCTTAACTCTCCTACACCTCAATAAATTCTATTAAATGCCAGTAAATGCTGCTTATTCTAATTCTGATAGCTCGAGGAGAGTGACCCCCAATTTCCAGCTAGAGACTGGTGCTGACCCCATGCAACTCAAACTAGGTGAATATTATGTGAGGCTGGCAGTGGAGTACGTTGCCGTCCGCCCTGGGTCCCACGTAGCTGAAGATGCTTGGTGCTTCTCGGTAATTTTTCCACTAACTTCCTGTAGGCACTGTGGTCTCTAGCTCATCTAATTTTTTCACTCACTGTATTTACTGACACATCTATATATATCTCTTATCTCCCTGGTCTTGAGTCGCACTTATTCTTCAAAATACCCCACTGCGTTATTATGGCAACACTATTTAGGCCTGACACGACCGTTCACCTTCCTTGCTCTCGGCCCCCACTTAGCACTTGTCACTATTTACTATGTTTTCTTGTCTGTGATCACTTATATTTCCTTTTTTCGGGACTTAAGTGATTATATGCACTCTTATGCGTGCACACGCCTATATCCCACACTCTATTCCTTATGGTACAGTCAGAAATTACCACCAAAACATAAGCTCAAACTGCGTGACTCCTCCACGTGTGTGTGTGTGTGTGTGTGTGTGTGTGTATGTGTGTGTGTATGTGTGCGTGTATGTGTGTGTGTGTATGTGTGTGTGTATGTGTGTGTATGTGTGTGTTTGTGTGTGTGTGCGTGTATGTGCATGTGTGTGTGTGTATGTGTGTGTGTGTGTGTGTGTGTGTGTGTGTGTGTGTGTGTGTGTGTGTGTGCATTCGCCTAGTTAGTTACCATATTGTCCTAGTGCAGGTGTGTGTGTGTATGTGTGTATATGTGTGTGTTTGTATGTGTGGGGGAGGTGTGAGGGGGAGATACTGCTAATACATACCAGTAATTCTGGGTTATAAAAAGCGGAGCTTGCTACTAGGGTCTAAAGCTTCTATGAGTGTCTACCCTTGTGTGTGTCCGTGTGTGTGAGGGAGGGATGGTTAGGGGGGGTAGGCGGTGTGGTTGAAAGATCCGTTATACCTCTCTGTCGTGTAGGCTCAAATTTAACTCAGCTATCTTTCCAAGTAATGCTACTCTCTCCACTTATTGCCCTTTCCGGATTTAAGTATCAATTATTGCTGGTTATCATATTCCTTGTTCACATTGAGAGAGGACTTCCTAGCTTCCTAAGTATTCTTACTGCCAATAACTACAGGTAGTAACATTGCCCTACCCCTGTGTGTGTGTGTGTGTGAGAGAGTGTGTGTGTTTGTGAGAGGTGACTTGTGTGGTGTAATGACTGGCCCCAACTTCTTGTGACCTGACCCCTACCCTCCTGGGACTTGACCCTCACACCTTCTTACAATGTTGCCCTTAAAAGCTTGTCCCACCACCTAGCTTATAGTAAATTACTCGCCTTGTGTGTGTGTGTGTGTGTGTGTGTGTGTGTGTGTGTGTGTGTGTGTGTGTGTGTGTGTGTGTGTGTGTGTGTGTGTGTCTGGGTTTAAGTATCAATTATTGCTGGTTATTATCCTGTTCCATGTTCACATTGAGAGAGGACTTCCTAGCTTCCTAAGTATTCTACTGCTAATAACTACTGGAAGTAATACTACTCTACTGTGTGTGTGTGTGTGTGTGTGTGTGTGTGTGTGTGTGTGTGTGTGTGTGTGTGGTGCAGAATAGGTAAAATTGTCCAATTATCAATAACTCGTCTAAAATTCCTCTAAATTTTCTCTTATACGTTTAAAGATATATATTTTGCCATTAATGTAAAAATTAATAATTTTGTACCAAAAGAGCCTTAGAAAACTTACCTGACCTTATTATAACAAGTGTAATTAAATTTAGTCTAGTACAACTAAATATATTTTAAATAATTTAAAATAATTTATTAATAAACAATGAAATATATTTTTTTCGTTAAGTTCAGAATGATTTTTGAGAAATTATTGCATACACAAATTTTCACTTGTCTTATTCGGCAAGAAGAGCGTTGCTATTGAAGCCAAAATAGCAAGTTTTACCTATTCGGCACCACATATATGGGGTCCACTTCTAGTGTAAATTTGGGACCCACAGCCTCGGAAAAGTTGGTAAAAATCCTTTCTATCTGCTACAGCATGGTGTCCTGTTAGGACATCGGCTTAAGCCGGTAGGAGAATTGGACTTCCCTGGCATGGGCCAGTAGGCCTGCTGCAGTGCTCCTTCTTTATGTTCACAGTTTGGACCTGTCATTGAGAAGGGGAACGAGGATGTCGTTCATCACATGGAGGTGTTCCACTGTGAATACCCAGCAGATGTAGACGTACCCAGGTACCAGGTAAGTCAATACCACTAGGTGGTGCCTTTAGTGATGTCCTCAGTGATGTCTTGTAGGTGATGTCCTCAGTGATGTCTTCTAAGTGACGTCCTCAGTGATGTCTCCTAGGTGATGTCCTCAGTGATGTCTTCTAGGTGACGTCCTCAGTGATGTCTTCTAGATGACGTCCTCAGTGATGTCTTGTAGGTGATGTCTTCAGTGATGTCTTGTAGGTGATGTCCTCAGTGATGTCTTCTAGGTGACGTCCTCAGTGATGTCTTCTAGGTGACGTCCTCAGTGATGTCTTCTAGGTGACGTCCTCAGTGATGTCTTCTAGGTGATGTCCTCAGTGATGTTCTCTAGGTGACATCCTCAGTGATGTCTTCTAGGTGACTTCCTCAGTGATGTCTTCTGGGTGATATTCTCAGTGATGTCTTCTAGGTGACTTCCTCAGTGATGACTTGTAGGTGATGTCCTCAGTGATGTCTTCTAGGTGACGTCCTCAGTGATGTCTTCTAGGTGATATCGTCAGTGATGTCTTCTGGGTGACGTCCTCAGTGATGTCTTTTAGGTGATATCCTCAGTGAAGTCTTCTAGGTGACGTCCTCAGTGATGTCTTCTAGGTGGCGTCCTCAGTGATGTCTACTAGGTAACGTCCTCAGAGATGTCTTCTAGGTGACGTCCTCAGTGATGTCTTCTAGGTGGCGTCCTCAGTGAGTCTTCTAGGTGGCGTCCTCAGTGATGTCTTCTAGGTGGCGTCCTCAGTGAAGTCTTCTAGGTGGCGTCCTCAGTGATGTCTTCTAGGTGACGTCCTCAGTGAAGTCTTCTAGGTGGCGTCCTCAGTGAGTCTTCTAGGTGACGTCCTCAGTGAAGTCTTCTAGGTGGCGTCCTCAGTGATGTCTTCTAGGTGACGTCCCTAGACACTGTTTTCCCTGGACCCTATTTTCCCTGGACCCTGTTTCCCTGAACCCTGTTTTCCCTAGACCCTATTTTCCATGGACCCTGGTTTCCCTAGACCCTATTTTCCCTGTACCCCGTTTCTCTGGACCCTGTTTTTCCTAGACCCTATTTTCCCTGTACCCTGTTTCCCTGGACCCTGTTTTCCCTAGACCTTATTTTCCCTGGACCCTGTTTCCCCTAGACCCTATTTTCCCTGGACCCTGTTTCCCTGGACCCTGTTTTCCCTTGACCCTGTTTCCCTGGACCCTGTTTTCCCTGGACCCTGTTTTCCCTAGACCCTGTTTTCCCTGGTCCCTGTTTCCCTGGACCCTGTTTTCTCAAGACCCTATTTTCCCTGGTCCCTGTTTCCCTGGACCCTGTTTTCCCTAGACCCTATTTTCCCTGGTCCCTGTTTCCCTGGACCCTGTTTTACCCTAACCTTGTTTTTCCCGGCTCTGTCACACCCCAGTCCCAGTTCAAAACAGAAACTCTGCTTGGCAGGGACTGTGTCATGCTGCTGACAGAGCGCCAGAGATCGACGCTTGCAAGAGAGTGTTGGCTGCTTGGGCCATGGGTGCTACTGCCTTTATCTACCCTCCGGTGAGTCCTTGATCCAAGGCACTGAAGCTACTCTACCCCTGCTGCTGCTGCAGCAGCAACAACAAATGCTAGTCATACCATAATCTTTGTAAACATAATTATATACATCATACTTAAGTACACAATGTAACAAGCAACTCTAAACTCGTAATATAAACCGACCCATCTATAACCACACTTTTAAACCTCCCACTGAAACCTCCTCAATGGTCTCTAATTTAAATAAACATTTCAATAAACATCTGTATAATGTCATCTGACACACAGGAGGCTGGGATGCCCATCGGTGGAGCTGACTTCAACCCCTACATCATGTTAGAGGTTCACTACAACAACCCACAACTGATCACTGGTCAGTACTCCTCGTAATTCTCAGTATATATATACATATATATAATATATATATATATATATATATATATATATATATATATATATTATATATATATATATATATAATATATATGTCGTGCAGAATAGGCAGAACTTGCGATCTTGGCTTAAATAGCAACGTTCATCTTGCCATATAGGACAAGTGAAAATTTGTGTATGCAATAATTTCGCCAAAATCATTCTGAACCTAACGAAAAAAATATATTTCACTGTGTTTGTTTAGTATTAAATTACTGTAAACAAATCTAAAATATATTTAGTTGGGTTAGGCTAAAATAAATTGTTCTTGTTATAATAAGGTTAGGTAAGTTTTCTAAGATTCTTTTGGTGCAAAATTAAATTTTTTTACATTAACATTAATGAAAAAAAATATATCTTTAAACGTATAAGAGAAAATTTTAGAAAGGACTTAATTTTAAATGAGTTCTTGCTAATTGACCAGTTTTACATATTCGGCACGACTATATATATATATATATATATATATATATATATATATATATATATATATATATATAATATACACATGACCACTAAGTTGTAAGTTAAGAGAGAAACTATCATTCCTCTCCTTGCTGGACCATTATCAAATTACTAGTAATCTAAATCGTTATAAATATATATCATTTCTTAAAGGGGTGGAGAGGTAAGCCAGTGGAAGGCCTCGGTCAGGTGACCAAAAGCTTCAGTTGTGGGTTATCATATAACTGAGGCCAGCGTCAGGAAACACTTGTCCTGTTTCCTGACGAACCTGACCTGACCTGCTAGTAACCTGAAACTGGTCCTTCATGACCCGAAACTTTTCCTTTTGTTTCCTGTTCGTGGACTAGTGGTCAACTGTCTGTGCTAGGCTGTCTGTGCTAGGCTGTCTGTGCTAGGCTGTATGTGCTAGGCTGTCTGTGCTAGGCTGTCTGTGCTAGGCTGTATGTGCTAGGCTGTCTGTGCTAGGCTGTCTGTGCTAGGTTGTCTGTGCTAGGCTGTATATGCTAGGTTGTCTGTGCTAGGCTGTCTGTGCTAGGCTGTATGTGCCAGGCTGTCTGTGCTAGGCTGTCTGTGCTAGGCTGTCTGTGCTAAGCTGTATGTGCTAGGCTGTCTGTGCTAGGTTGTCTGTGCTAGGTTGTCTGTGCTAGGTTGTCTGTGCTAGGCTGTCTGTGCTAGGCTGTCTGTGCTAGGCTGTATATGCTAGGTTGTCTGTGCTAGGCTGTCTGTGCTAGGCTGTATGTGCCAGGCTGTCTGTGCTAGGCTGTCTGTGCTAGGCTGTCTGTGCTAAGCTGTATGTGCTAGGCTGTCTGTGCTAGGCTGTCTGTGCTAGGCTGTCTGTGCTAGGTTGTCTGTGCTAGGCTGTATGTGCTAGGCTGTCTGTGCTAGGCTGTATGTGCTAGGTTGTCTGTGCTAGGCTGTCTGTGCTAGGCTGTCTGTGCTAGGCTGTCCATGATGAAATTAAGACACATGTGCAACATCTGTCTGCACATGTGTCTTAATTTCATCTTGTCGGTATTATATACCATTCTTGCACAACTAGGCTGTCCATGCTAGGCTGTCCATGCTAGGCTGTCCATGCTAGGCTGTCCATGCTAGGCTGTACGTGCTAGGCTGTACGTGCTAGGCTGTACGTGCTAGGCTGTCCATGCCAGGCTGTCCATGCCAGGCTGTCCATGCCAGGCTGTCCATGCCAGGCTGTCCATGCCAGGCTGTCCATGCCAGGCTGTCCATGCCAGGCTGTTGTGGCATTTATTCTTAAGACTTTCACCAATACTTATAAAGTTACCAGTTTGTGTTGACATTTGCTACTGCTGGTGTTACTTGTGTGTTACTGTTGTTAGTTGTGTGTTGCTGCTGTTACTGGTGTTGCTTGCGTGTTACAAACAGGAAACGTTAACAGTCTGGGTTGTTGCAGGTCGTGTTGACAGCTCAGGCATCGCCTTGCACTACACCAGTGAGCTGAGGCATCATGATGCTGGTATCATGGAACTGGGGCTGGAATATACCAGCAAGATGGCTATTCCACCTGGAATGACAGCCTTCACCCTCTCCGGTTACTGCGTCCCCGAGTGCACAGCTCTGGTAAGACTCCTCCACTCTTTACCCTCTCCGGTTACTGCGTCCCCGAGTGCACACCTCTGGTAAGACTCCTCCACTCTTTACCCTCTCCGGTTACTGCGTCCCCGAGTGCACAGCTCTGGTAAGACTCCTCCACTCTTGGCTGTCATGTGCATTTTAGAGACAGAAGAGTGGAGAGGTGGAAGATAGGGGGGTTAGTCCCTCGGCCCAGGGACGAGTTCAGTGCAGTAATCGAGACTGTAATACTGGGTACCTGGTTATATTTCTACCAGTACATGTACAAGGTATACAATTACATGTACAAGGTATACAAGTACATGTACAAGGTATACAAGTACAAGTACAAGGTATACAAGTACATGTACAAGGTATACAAGTACATGTACAAGGTATACAAGTACATGTACAAGGTATACAGATCATGGCTGACATCAGTGACATACTACTATATAGAAAGTCCCTTGTTATGCTGAGCATTTCCCGCAAATTAGGTCAGTTTTGTCCCGCGACCCACACCAGTCCACTAACACCCAGGATGTGACCCACACCAGTCCACTAACACTCAGGATATGACCCACACCAGTCCACTAACACCCAGGATTTGACCCACACCAGTTCACTAACACCCAGGATGTGACGCACACCAGTCCACTAACACCCATTATGTGACCCACACCAGTCCACTAACACCCAGGATGTGACCCACACCAGTCCACTAACACCCAGGACGTGACCCACACCAGTCCACTAACACCCAGGATTTGACCCACACCAGTTCACTAACACTCAGGATATGACCCACACCAGCCCACTAACACCCAGGATGTGACCCACACCAGTCCACTAACACCCAGGATGTCATCCACACCAGTCCACTAACACCCAGGATGTGACCCACACCAGTCCACTAACACCCAGGATGCCACCCACACCAGTCCACAAACAAGTAGGATGCGACCCACACCAGTCCACTAACACCCAGGATGCGACCCACACCAGTCCACTAACACCCAGGATGCCAACCACACCAGTCCACTAACACCCAGGATCCCACCCACACCAGTCCACTAACACCCAGGATGCGACCCACACCAGTCCACTAACACCCAGGATGCCAACCACACCAGTCCACTAACACCCAGGATCCCACCCACACCAGTCCACTAACACCCAGGATCCCACCCACACCAGTCCACTAACACCCAGGATGTGACCCACACCAGTCCACTAACACCCAGCATGTAACCCACACCAGTCCACTAACACCCAGGATGTGACCCACACCAGTCCACTAACACCCAGGATGTGACCCACACCAGTCCACTAACACCCAGGATGCGACCCACACAGTCCACTAACACCCAGAATGTGACCCACACCAGTCCACAAACACCCAGGATGTGACCCACACCAGTCCACAAACACCCAGGATGTGACCCACACCAGTCCACTAACACCCAGGATGCGACCCACACCAGTCCACTAACACCAAGAATGCGACCCACACCAGTCCACTAACACCCAGGATGTGACCCACACCAGTCCACTAACACCCAGAATGTGACCCACACCAGTCCACTGACACCCAGGATGTGACCCACACCAGTCCACTAACACCCAGGATGAGACCCACACCAGTCCACTAACACCCAGGATGCCACCCAGACCAGTCCACTAACACCCAGGATGTTACCCACACCAGTCCACAAACACCCAGGATGTGACCCACACCAGTCCACTAACACCCAGGATGTGACCCACACCAGTCCACTAATACCCAGGATGCCACCCAGACCAGTCCACTAACATCCAGGATGCCACCCACACCAGTCCACTATCACCCAGGATGTGACCCACACCAGTCCACTAACACCCAGGATGCGACCCACACCAGTCCACTAACACCCAGGATGTTACCCACACCAGTCCACAAACACCCAGAATGTGACCCACACCAGTCCACTAACACCCAGGATGTGACCCAGACCAGTCCACTAGCACCCAGGATGCGACCCACACCAGTCCACTAACATCCAGGATGCCACACACACCAGTCCACTAACACCCAGGATGTGACCCACACCAGTCCACTAACACCCAGGATGTGACCCACACCAGTCCACTAACACCCAGGATGTGACCCACACCAGTCCACTAACACCCAGGATGCAACCCACACCAGTCCACTAACACCCAAGATGTGACCCACACCAGTCAACTAACACCCAGGATGTGACCCACACCAGTCCACTAACACCCAGGATGCAACCCACACCAGTCCACTAACACCCAAGATGTGACCCACACCAGTCCACTAACACCCAGGATGTGACCCACACCAGTCCACTAACACCCAGGATGCAACCCACACCAGTCCACTAACACCCAGGATGCAACCCACATCAGTCCACTAACACCCAGGATGTGACCCACACCTGTCCACTAACACCCAGGATGTGACCCACACCAGTCCACTAACACCCAGGATGCCACCCACACTAGTCCACTAACACCCAGGATGTGACCCACACCAGTCCACTAACACCCAGGATGCCACCCACAGCAGTCCACTAACACCCAGGATGCCACCCACAGCAGTCCACTAACACCCAGGATGTGACCCACACCAGTCCACTAACACCCAGGATGCAACCCACACCAGTCCACTAACACCCAGGATGCAACCCACACCAGTCCACAAACACCCAGGATGCAACCCACACCAGTCCACTAACACCCAGGATGCAACCCACACCAGTCCACTAACACCCAGGATGCAACCCACACCAGTCCACTAACACCCAGGATGCAACCCACACCAGTCCACTAACACCCAGGATGCAACCCACACCAGTCCACTAACACCCAGGATGCAACCCACACCAGTCCACTAACACCCAGGATGCAACCCACACCAGTCCACTAACACCCAGGATGCAACCCACACCAGTCCACTAACACCCAGGATGCAACCCACACCAGTCCACTAACTCCCAGGTACCTATTTTACTGCTAGGTGAACATGGACAGCAGGTGTCTTAGGGAAACACGTCCCAATGTTCCCACCCGTACCGGGGATCGATCCCTGGAACAAGGAACAAGGACATGTAAGGCGTCTACCTTCCAATATTTGCATATCTTACACATAAATAACCCACGTTTCGCCAGTTGGTTGGCGAAACGTTTCCACAGTAATGATATGTAATTAATGAAGGTACGATATCGTGACTGGAAAAATACACAACCCGGACATAGAAGAGAGGAGCTTACCACGACGTTTCGCTCCGACTGGGACCATTTACAAAGTCACTTGGTAAATTTACGAAGTCAGGTTGTAAATTTAAAAAGTGCCTTTGTAAATGGTCCCAGTCTGAGCGAAACGTCGTGGTAGCTATGTGCGGGTTATTTGTGAATTGTTCCAGTCACGGTATTGTAACTTCATTATTTACATATTACCGTGGAAACATTTCGCCAACCAGTGGCGAAACGCCCTATACAATGGTGAACAGGTGCCTAGTTATTATAATTATAACTGAACCCTATACCCAGAATAATTATGTACCTCTGGTCTCGTTCCTCGTGTTGTCGGTGGGTATCGAATACCCAAGTTCTTACTGAACCTCTAAGTTCTCTACCGTGTAATATAAGCCCTTAACTAAGTTGTTTTTCTTAAGACTGAATACCCAAGTTCTTACTAACCTTCTAAGTTCTCTACCGTGTAATATAAGCCCATAACTAAGTTGTTTTTCTTAAGACTGAATACCCAAGTTCTTACTAACCTTCTAAGTTCTCTACCGTGTAATATAAGCCCTTAACTAAGTTGTTTTTCTTAAGACTGAATACCCAAGTTCTTACTAACCTTCTAAGTTCTCTACCGTGTAATATAAGCCCATAACTAAGTTGTTTTTCTTAAGACTGAATACCCAAGTTCTTACTAACCTTCTAAGTTCTCTACCGTGTAATATAAGCCCATAACTAACTTGTTTTTCTTAAGACTGAATACCCAAGTTCTTACTAACCTTCTAAGTTCTCTACCGTGTAATATAAGCCCATAACTAAGTTGTTTTTCTTAAGACTGAATACCCAAGTTCTTACTAACCTTCTAAGTTCTCTACCGTGTAATATAAGCCCATAACTAACTTGTTTTTCTTAAGACTGAATACCCAAGTTCTTACTAACCTTCTAAGTTCTCTACCGTGTAATATAAGCCCATAACTAACTTGTTTTCCTTAACTCTGAGAGAAGAGCAAAGGTGACATATTTGCACATTTGGTGGCTCGTGGCCTGGGGGCAAAAGCTCTCACTTCACACGCTTAGGGTCTGGGTTCGATTCCCGGCAAGGGTAAAAACATTTGGCGTGTTTCGTTTAAGATACCTGCTCTCCCTGTTCACCTAGCGGTAAGTAGGTACCTGGGTGTTATTGGACTGGTGTGCGTAGCATCCTGGGGACAAAATTAACCCAAGTTGTGGGAAATGCTCTACGTAACCAGGGACTTTCGATGTCATAGGTGTGAGCTATGGTCTGTATAAGTTGCATCAAGTACTGGTAGAAATAAACATTATTATTATTATTATTATTATTATTATATTATATTATTATTATTATTATTATTATTAAATGCTAAAGTTATTAACAAAATTTTTAACCTTAAATGAATTCTCAGTTTTTTTTAATTTATTTTGGTTTAACGTTCAGAAGTAATTAACGAAACAAACAACGATTTTCTCTTGTTTCGTTTGTCTGGTTTAGTGTTTTATACTTTGTGTATTCCACACCTGTTCCAGGATCCAATACCCACCCCAGTATCCCACACCTGCAGCAGGACCCAACCCTATCCCACACCTACAGCAGGACCCAATACCCACCTCAGAATCCCACACCTACAGCAGGACCCAACCCTAATATCCCACACCTACAGCAGGACCCAACCCTAATATCCCACACCTGCAGCAGGACCCAACCCTAATATCCCACACCTGCAGCAGGACCCAATCCTAATATCCCACACCTACAGCAGGACCCAATCCTAATATCCCACACCTACAGCAGGACCCAATCCTAATACCCACACCTACATGCAGGACCCAATCCTAATATCCCACACCTACAGCAGGACCCAATCCTAATATCCCACACCTACAGCAGGACCCCAACCCTAATATCCCACACCTACAGCAGGACCCAACCCTAATATCCCACACCTACAGCAGGACCAACCCTAATATCCCACACCTACAGCAGGACCCAATCCTAATAACCCACACCTACAGCAGGACCCAATCCTAATATCCCACACCTACAGCAGGACCCAACCCTAATATCCCACACCTACAGCAGGACCCAATCCTTATATCCCACACCTACAGCAGGACCAATCCTAATATCCCACACCTACAGCAGGACCCAATCCTAATATCCCACACCTACAGCAGGACCCAATCCTAATATCCCACACCTACGCAGGACCCAATCCTAATATCCCACACCTACAGCAGGACCCAATCCTAATATCCCACACCTACAGCAGGACCCAATCCTAATATCCCACACCTACAGCAGGACCCAACCCTAATATCCCACACCTACAGCAGGACCCAATCCTAATATCCCACACCTACAGCAGGACCCAATCCTAATATCCCACACCTACAGCAGGACCCAATCCTAATATCCCACACCTACAGCAGGACCCAACCCTAATATCCCATACCTACAGCAGGACCCAACCCTAATATCCCACACCTACAGCAGGACCCAATACCAACCCAAACAACCCACACCTCTGACACTACACACCTGTCACAGGGGCTGCCTGAGGACGGTATCCACATCTTCGGGTCGCAGCTACACACACACCTGACGGGGCTGAGAGCCTGGACCAAACACCTCAGAGGTGAGGAGGAACTTCCAGAGCTCAACCGTGATGACCACTACTCCACACACTTCCAGGAGATACGCAGACTTCCTGAACCAGTCCATGTACTCCCGGTGAGTACTCTCTTGGTACTCGCCTCTGCATGAAGCTACCTCACCTGTTGTAAACACAGAAGATTGTTAGAAATAAAACCTCTGAACAATGCATCTCTGATAAATCTCACTGTTACTACCACTACGCATAGTACCTAGTGACTGTGTGACTAGTACCTAGTGACTGTGTGACTTTGTAAATGGTTGAGGTGGGACCCAAACGTCGTTGTAAGCTCCTCCTATGGCGGTTATCTGTGTAATGCCGTAGGGAAGTTAGTTAGTTTAATATCTTTATTATGCACCCCATACCCATCCTGTGGGCGGTAGTCAAAAGATTACAAAGGTACATAATGGATCCAGTGACTGGACCCCAAAGTTATGATAGCTGAACTAGTTACAAAGGTAATGAACTCCAGGTAGATCTGGTCACAATCATGGCAAGTTACAGAGGTAATGAATCAGCCTCACTCCTATACATGGTTACAGTCATGAACAAATTACAAAGTAATGAACCACTGATACGTCCACACCTGGTCACAATTGTAATGAGTTATAAATACAAATATTAAGTGGGTCATACACCCACACGAGCGCTCACACACATACACACACAAGCATGCACACCCACACACACACAAGCATGCACACCCACACACACACACGCATGCACACCCACACACACACAAGCACGCACACCCACACACACACAAGCACGCACACCCACACACACAGAAGCACGCACACCCACACACACAGAAGCACGCACACCCACACAAGCACGCACACCCACACCCACACAAGCACGCAGGAACCAAGGATCAGATGAGAATGGTTCTGGTAGGGAGGAGTGGATGGAGGAGCAGTGGAAAAGGATGGAACAAGAGTGGGAGAGAAAATTAGGAGAGCTTTCTGAAAAAATGGAGAAAGAGCTCTCTGTGAAATTGGAAAAGAGGTTGGAGAAGGAGACAAAGAATTGGGAGGCACAAGTCGAAACTGCAGTAGCCAAGATAAGGGTCCTAGAAGTTGAGATAAATAGGCTGAAGCGAGTTACAGGGGCAGTGACCAGAGAAGACACAGCATATGAAGCTGCGAGGCCGAACAGGAAGGAAGGAATTATGAATTATGCTAAGGTCATATCAACCTGCCAAAAAGAGCCAAGGAGTGGAAGGGAAGAACAGCTGGTTGCAGACGGAGAGGGTGATAGGTCGAATGCTGAGGCACAATCTTGCTATCAAGAGCCACTGGAAAAATCAAGGGAGAAACTGACCACATACAGGCAGGATCCAGAGACACAGAGGGTGAGGCAATGGGAGGAGGAAAGGGCAAAATCAGTGTTTATCCATGGGCTTCAGGAGAGAGAGGAAAGGACACACACTGAAAGGCAGCAGGAAGAAAGTAAGGAGATTGAGAAAATCATCACGGAAATAGGTGAAGAGATGGACGAGATTGTAAATTTACAGAGAATAGGGGGGTACTCGAAGGGGAGAAACCGACCAATCAAGCTGATTCTCAGGACGGAAACAGTGCGGAACAGGATCCTCCAAGAGAAACCACGATTGAAATACTCGGAAGAGTACAAGAGGGTGTTCCTAGACAGAGACAGAACACAATCAGAACGACAGCAGCTGAGGGAGAGGACAAAAAAGCGAAAGGAGCTAGGAAAAGAGACAAGGATGGAACCAGCAGAGGTCAGTCAGAGCAGAACAGAACAGCAAGGGCAAGCACACACACAACTATTCTCAGAACCATACAACCTATCACACCATCCCAACACACACTACAATCCATACCCACAGCCTCCACCCAACACCGAGCTATAGAATCCCACAGTATGCTACCAGGTCTCCCACCCTCACAGCCCCCCCAAACCACAGTGTTGGAAAGGAAACTGAAGGTATGGTACACAAACGCTGATGGTATAACAAATAAGTGAGAGGAGTGGCATGAAAGAGTCAAAGAGGCATCACCGGACATCATAGCTCTCACAGAAACCAAACTTACAGGTATGATAACAGATGCCATCTTTCCAATGGGATACAAATCCTGAGGAAAGACAGAGGGAACAGGGGGGGGGTGGAGGAGTGGCATTGCTGATCAAAAATCGCTGGAATTTTGATGAGCTGGAGAGAGGAGACAGCGGAAAAGAAAGTGATTACATAGCGGGAACACTTCACTCTGGAGGTCCGAAGGTGGTAATAGCAGTGATGTATAACCCACCACAGAACAGCAGGAGGCCAAGGCAAGAGTACGACGAGAGCAATAGAGCGATGGTTGATACACTGGCTAGAGTGGCCAGAAGAGCTCATGCATGCAGGGCAAAGCTCCTGATCATGGGTGACTTTAACCACAAGGAGATCGATTGAGAGAACTTGGACCCGCATGGGGGCCAAGATACATGGAGGGCTAAGATGATGGAGGTGGTACTGGAAAACTTCATGTACCAACACGTAAGGGACACTACAAGAGAGAGAGGAGAGGATGAACCAGCAAGGCTAGACTTAGTATTCACCTTGAGTAGTGCAGATATCGAGGACATCACATATGAAAGACCCCTTGGGGCCAGTGACCATGTGGTTTTAAGCTTCGAATACACAGTAGAGCTACAAGTGGAGGGAGAAGAAGGAAGGCCAGGACGAATGAAGCCAAACTACAAGAAAGGGGACTACACAGGAATGAAGAACTTCCTGAACGGGGTTCAGTGGGACAGAGAACTGGCAGGGAAGCCAGTTAATGAGATGATGGAATATGTAGCAACAAAATGCAAGGAGGCTGAGGAGAGGTTTGTACCCAAGGGTAACAGGAATAATGAAAAAGCCAGGATTTGCCCATGGTTCACCCAAAGGTGCAGGGAGGCAAAAACCAAGTGTGCTAGAAGGCAAAGGACCCAGGAGAATAAGGAGAGCAGTCGTAGAGCCAGAAACGAATATGCACAGATAAGAAGGGAGGCCCAAAGACAATATGAAAATGACATAGCAGCGAAAGCCAAATCTGACCCGAAACTGTTGTACAGCCACATCAGGAGGAAAACAACAGTCAAGGACCAGGTAATCAGGCTAAGGAAGGAAGGAGGAGAGACAACAAGAAATGACCGTGAAGTATGTGAGGAACTCAACAAGAGATTCAAAGAAGTGTTCACAGAGGAGACAGAAGGGACTCCAGAAAGACAGAGAGGTGGGGCACACCACCATGTGATGGACACAGTGCACACAACCGAGGAAGAAGTGAAGAGGCTTCTGAGTGAGTTAGATACCTCAAAGGCAATGGGGCCAGATAACATCTCCCCATGGGTATTGAGAGAGGGAGCAGAGGCGCTATGTGTACCCCTAACAACAATATTCAATACATCTATCGAAACAGGGAGATTGCCTGAGGCATGGAAGACAGCAAATGTAGTCCCAATCTTTAAAAAAGGAGACAGACATGAAGCATTAAACTACAGACCAGTGTCACTGACATGTATAGTATGCAAAATCATGGAGAAGATTATCAGGAGAAGAGTGGTGGAACACCTAGAAAGGAATGATCTCATCAACAGCAGCCAACATGGTTTCAGGGACGGGAAATCCTGTGTCACAAACCTACTGGAGTTCTATGACATGGTGACAGCAGTAAGACAAGAGAGAAAGGGGTAGGTGGATTGCATATTCTTGGACTGCAAGAAGGCGTTTGACACAGTTCCACACAAGAGATTGGTGCAAAAACTGGAGGACCATGCAGGGATAACAGGGAAGGCACTACAATGGATCAGGGAATACTTGTCGGGAAGACAGCAGCGAGTCATGGTACGTGGCGAGGTGTCAGAGTGGGCACCTGTGACCAGCGGGGTCCCACAGGGGTCAGTCCTAGGACCAGTGCTGTTTCTGGTATTTGTGAACGACATGACAGAAGGAATAAACTCTGAGGTGTCCCTGTTTGCAGATGACGTGAAGTTGATGAGAAGAATTCACTCGATCGAAGACCAGGCAGAACTACAAAGGGATCTGGACAGGCTGCAGACCTGGTCCAGCAATTGGCTCCTGGAGTTCAATTCCACCAAGTGCAAAGTCATGAAGATTGGGGAAGGGCAAAGAAGACCGAAGACGGAGTACAGTCTAGGGGGCCAGAGACTACAAACCTCACTCAAGGAAAAAGATCTTGGGGTGAGTATAACACCAGGCACATCTCCTGAAGCGCACATCAATCAAATAACTGCTGCAGCATATGGGCGCCTAGCAAACCTCAGAACAGCATTCCGACATCTTAATAAGGAATCGTTCAGGACCCTGTACACCGTGTACGTTAGGCCCATATTGGAGTATGCGGCACCAGTTTGGAACCCACACCTAGCCAAGCACGTAAAGAAACTAGAGAAAGTGCAAAGGTTTGCAACAAGACTAGTCCCAGAGCTAAGAGGTATGTCCTACGAGGAGAGGTTAAGGGAAATCAACCTGACGACACTGGAGGACAGGAGAGATAGGGGGACATGATAACGACATACAAAATACTGAGAGGAATTGACAAGGTGGACAAAGACAGGATGTTCCAGAGATTGGACACAGTAACAAGGGGACACAGTTGGAAGTTGAAGACACAGATGAATCACAGGGATGTTAGGAAGTATTTCTTCAGCCACAGAGTAGTCAGTAAGTGGAATAGTTTGGGAAGCGATGTAGTGGAGGCAGGATCCATACATAGCTTTAAGCAGAGGTATGATAAAGCTCACGGTTCAGGGAGAGTGACCTAGTAGCGATCAGTGAAGAGGCGGGGCCAGGAGCTCGGACTCGACCCCCGCAACCTCAACTAGGTGAGTACAACTAGGTGAGTACACCCACATACACACAAGCACGCCGGGCAGGGAAGACTGTGTTCGCCAGGGGTTTTCTGATCCTGTATCATGGTATCGTGTCCTACTGGGTGCGAGAGTCAGGAGGGCACGAGAGTCAGGAGGGCACGAGAGTCAGGAGGGTACGAGAGTCAGGAGGGCGCGAGAGTCAGGAGGGTGCGAGAGTCAGGAGGGAGAGAGTCAGGAGGGTGCGAGAGTCAGGAGGGTGCGAGAGTCAGGAGGGTGCAAGAGTCAGGAGGGTGCAAGAGTCAGGAGGGTGCGAGAGTCAGGAGGGCGCGAGAGTCAGGAGGGCGCGAGAGTCAGGAGGGCGCGAGAGTCAGGAGGGCGCGAGAGTCAGGAGGGCGCGAGAGTCAGGAGGGTGCGAGAGTCAGGAGGGTGCGAGAGTCAGGAGGGTGCGAGAGTCAGGAGGGTGCGAGAGTCAGGAGGGCACGAGAGTCAGGAGGGCGCGAGAGTCAGGAGGGCGCGAGAGTCAGGAGGGTACGAGAGTCAGGAGGGCACGAGAGTCAGGAGGGCGCGAGAGTCAGGAGGGCGCGAGAGTCAGGAGGGCACGAGAGTCAGGAGGGCACGAGAGTCAGGAGGGCGCAAGAGTCAGGAGGGTGCGAGAGTCAGGAGGGTGCGAGAGTCAGGAGGGTGCGAGAGTCAGGAGGGTGCGAGAGTCAGGAGGGTGCGAGAGTCAGGAGGGCGCGAGAGTCAGGAGGGCGCAAGAGTCAGGAGGGTGCGAGAGTCAGGAGGGTGCGAGAGTCAGGAGGGTGCGAGAGTCAGGAGGGTGCGAGAGTCAGTAGGATGCGAGAGTCAGTAGGATGCGAATGTAGAGACACACGACTTCTATATCCTGGAGTAGTTGTACTCCGGAGGATGAAGAAGATAGGAGCACCTCTCATTCCACCAACCTTAACTCCCCTTCAACATAAATCTTGGGTGGTAAGAGCCGCATGTCAGACTAACTTCCCTCACACTGTACATCGCTTAGTGTTAGAAATTTAGCCACCACAGGGCCGGGTGTAAAGCTTCACGTAACATATTTGTCACTGGAGCCCAAGTTGACACTGTCCACTTCTGTACTGTCTGGTCACAATTGTAGTGTCTCCTATAAGGCAAATAAAATATGTCTGGTGCACACGAGCGTGTGTGTACCATACACACTCGTATATTGCTTTCTGTCTTTTAATTACATTATATGTTAGATTATGTGAAGGGATTTAGGGAAACCGGTTAGCCGGACTTGAGTCCTGGAGGTGGGAAGTGCAGTGCCTGCACTCTGAAGGTGGGGTGCTGATATACCACATGACGCTTTTAACCACAGGACCACCCAACCCTACAAGAATGGTACAGCCAGCACACAGCTAGCTGTTGGGCCGCCATCCGAGGGCATACGGAGGTGTGGGAGCTTCTAAGCTAATTTCATTATCATCCCTGTTTGGTGTACTAGCCTCACGAGCAGTATTTATATATTATTGTAACCACGAACGAGTGTTATTGATCAATAACAACACTGCGCTAGCCAAGGATTCGAACTGCTCGTGAGGCTAGTACACCAAACAGGGATGAGAATGAAATTAGCTTAGAAGCTCCCACACCTCCGTATGCCCTCGGATGGCGGCCCAACAGCTAGCTGTGTGCTGGCTACGCCATTCTTGTAGGGTTGGGTGGTCCTGTGGTTAAAAGCATCATGTGGCTCTTGCTTACCAAGAGGCAGGCCAGTACAACATGGGTTTGAATCCTTGGCTAGCGCAGTGTTGTTATTGATCAATACCTATGGAAAATTTCCTAGGGGTGATTACCTGTACAAGTAATCTCATTGGGAGACAACCATATTGTTTACCGTAGTCACCCCGTGTAGACATGTGAGAAAACTTAACCACCCCTGGTCACGGCAGGTGGTTCCTTCGACCTCACAATCTTATCCATATCTATCCGGGACCAGTATAAATTGTATAGCACCCATAAGTACGGCGCTACTGATTAATTGTTGACTGTATAGATTATATTAGTTTAACTGAATGAATGGGGGGGGGGTAGGTTACACTTGGATATATCCATCAAGGAAAAACACTTGTACATAATCCCACCACTTACCAGAAATTCTCTGGTGGTCACTTGATGTAGCTGGATCACCCATAACCTATCCAATTACAACATACCTAACTGGCCAGTATCAGTCTGCTATAACTAGAAGGGTTACTTAACTGTGGGTGATTGATGCTCCTTATTTCCTCCATTCACCATCTCATTTCGATGTCCTGCTACACCGACACGGTTCTTATTCCAACACGACGAGGTATTCGTTGGTTTGTCCCAGTTTACAAATCGTGACTCCATAAAACCTTCACTATCCTCGGGACAGGAACACGATGTCTAACGTGTTCACTCGGAGTAAGGTGATTTATTTCACTTCACGCATTCTCTTAACTTAAGGTTATTATCATTGATTACATTACAGTTCACAAGCCGATTTAATGTCTCATAATTATTATACACATTAGATGTCACTCCATTAAGATCTGAGGCCGATGAGTGAGGATTAACTCACGGGTATTTCCCCTGGACACACACCATGGCCGCGCACCAGTCACCCCCGGGTGAACCATTATTCACTAATTTTACCATCTTTATTACGGTGGTCCTGTAAATCACGTTCCCTCACTCTTCACCAGGAACAGTTACGACACTTCCTATTATGAAATGAGGCCTATATTAATCCTTAGGCCGCCGTGAACGCCAATTTCCTGGTCCCATGTTTTCTCAGCCTCCTCACTACATTCAAAACACTGCCGCCTCCTCGTGCCCCAGCTCGACCTATACCCCTGCACATCTGCGCAGGCGCAGCGGGAACCCAGTTGGTTCCATTCAAAATACGAATACATTTTGACCCAAATCAACACATTAAACACTTATTAGGCACTATAGCTTCGGAAATGAAATAATTTCACAATACCACTTGTTCGTGGTTACAATAATCATATATATATATATATATATATATATATATATATATATATATATATATATATATATATATATATATATATATATATATATATATGCATGTGTGTGTGTGTACTCACCTAGTTGTACTCGCCTAGTTGAGGTTGCAAGGGTCGAGTCCAAGCTCCTGGCCCCGCCTCTTCACTGGTCGCTACTAGGTCACTCTCCCTGAACCGTGAGCTTTATCATACCTCTGCTTAAAGCTATGTATGTATGTATGTATGTGTGTATGTGTGTATGTGTATGTGTGAGTGTGTCATTTTAATTCCGAACTATACGTGTCTAGAAGTACACGGTCGTGATCTCAGTGATTCAGTGACCTGATCCGAATCACAGAATAGGTAGGGCTTGAATCTATGGCAAGTGAGTCCTGAACCTCCCTGTGGTACAGGGAGGTTCAGAAGGCTGAGCGACCTGGCTGAGTAGTTAACGCACTGGCCTGTGAGTTTTACAACCCGTTTCCTGACTTATTTTCAATCGTGTTATTAACATTTCGTGAGACCTGGTACGAACTCAGGATGTAAACCCCACCCGGTGTGATTTGTCCCACAGGGTGACGCCCTCATCACCACCTGTGAACACTCAACAGTGACGCGGACCAATGTGACGGTGGGAGGGTTTGCCATCAGTGACGAGATGTGTGTCAACTACATTCACTACTACCCGAAGGTGGAACTCGAGGTTTGCAAGTCTTCAATCGACTCTGCAACCCTTATTAGCTACTTCAACTTTATGAACAGGTGGGTGTTCCGATTTCTGTTGCAGTACACCTGCTCTTATTGCAAGTGATAGGCAAACACCTGTCAATCAGGCTCGTATAAGAAGCGTCCTCAGTAGGATGTGTAACACCTGTCTGCTAGGTAGGCTACCCTCACACCTGACTGGTTGTTGTCTCACTAACAGCAGGTGTAGTGAGTTGTCACAGTAACAGTAGGTGTAGTGAGTTGTCACAGTAATAGGTGTAGTGAGTTGTCACAGTAACAGTTGGTGTAGTGAGTTGTCACAGTAACAGTTGGTGTAGTGAGTTGTTACAGTAACAGTTGGTGTAGTGAGTTGTCACAGTAACAGTTGGTGTAGTGAGTTGTTACAGTAACAGTTGGTGTAGTGAGTTGTCACAGTAACAGTAGGTGTAGTGAGTTGTCACGGTAATAGGTGTAGTGAGTTGTCACAGTAACAGTTGGTGTAGTGAGTTGTTACAGTAACAGTTGGTGTAGTGAGTTGTCACAGTAACAGTAGGTGTAGTGAGTTGTCACAGTAACAGTAGGTGTAGTGAGTTGTCACAGTAACAGTTGGTGTAGTGAGTTGTCACAGTAACAGTTGGTGTAGTGAGTTGTCACAGTAACAGTTGGTGTAGTGAGTTGTCACAGTAACAGTAGGTGTAGTGAGTTGTCACAGTAACAGTTGGTGTAGTGAGTTGTCACAGTAACAGTTGGTGTAGTGAGTTGTCACAGTAACAGTTGGTGTAGTGAGTTGTCACAGTAACAGTAGGTGTAGTGAGTTGTCACAGTAACAGTTGGTGTAGTGAGTTGTCACAGTAACAGTTGGTGTAGTGAGTTGTTACAGTAACAGTAGGTGTAGTGAGTGTTGTTACAGTAACAGTAGGTGTAGTGAGTGTTGTTACAGTAACAGTAGGTGTAGTGAGTGTTGTTACAGTAACAGTAGGTGTAGTAAGTGTTGTCACAGTAATAGCAGGTGTAGTAATTTTAACAGTAATAGCAGGTGTAGCGAGTGTTATAGCAACAGAAGGTGTAGTGATTGTTACAGTAACAGCAGATGTAGTAAGTGTTGTTACAGTAACAGCAGGTTCAGTGAGAGCTGTTACAGTAACAGCAGGTGTAGCGAGTGTTGTTACAACAGCAGTAGCAGGAACGGTAAATATCACAGCCTCCCACAGGTGGGAGTTACAGGACACATCACCAGAGTTGGGCTGGAGAGAGAACTATCAAAGCATCCACTGGACGCCTCTCAGATCTGGGATGCTGGCTGACCTCTACAACAACTCTCCCATCTCCATGCAGTGTAACAAGTAGGTACTTCTACTCTCCCAGGTTCAGTGTACTTCTACTCTCCCAGGTTCAGTGTACTACTACTCTCCCAGGTTCAGTGTACTACTACTCTCCCAGGTTCAGTGTACTACTACTCTCCCAGGTTCAGTGTACTACTATCCTAGGTTCAGTGTACTACTACTCTCCCAGGTTCAGTGTACTACTACTCTCCCAGGTTCAGTGTACTACTATTCTCCCAGGTTCAGTGTACTACTACTCTCCCAGGTTCAGTGTACTACTACTCTCCCAGGTTCAGTGTACTACTACTCTCCCAGGATCAGTGTACTACTATTCTCCCAGGTTCAGTGTACTACTACTCTCCCAGGTTCAGTGTACTACTACTCTCCCAGGTTCAGTGTACTTCTACTCTCCCAGGTTCAGTGTACTTCTACTCTCCCAGGTTCAGTGTACTACTACTCTCCCAGGTTCAGTGTACTACTACTCTCCCAGGTTCAGTGTACTACTATCCTAGGTTCAGTGTACTACTATCCTAGGTTCAGTGTACTACTATCCTAGGTTCAGTGTACTACTATCCTAGGTTCAGTGTACTACTACTCTCCTAGGTTCAGTGTACTACTATCCTAGGTTCAGTGTACTTCTAATCTCCCAGGTTCAGTGTACTACTATTCTCCCAGGTTCAGTGTACTACTACTCTCCTAGGTTCAGTGTACTACTACTCTCCCAGGTTCAGTGTACTACTACTCTCCCAGGTTCAGTGTACTACTACTCTCCCAGGTTCAGTGTACTACTACTCTCCCAGGTTCAGTGTACTACTATTCTCCCAGGTTCAGTGTACTACTACTCTCCCAGGTTCAGTGTACTACTACTCTCCTAGGTTCAGTGTACTACTACTCTCCCAGGTTCAGTGTACTACTATTCTCCCAGATTCAGTGTACTACTACTCTCCCAGGTTCAGTGTACTACTACTCTCCCAGGTTCAGTGTACTACTACTCTCCCAGGTTCAGTGTACTATCCTAGGTTCAGTGTACTACTATCCTAGGTTCAGTGTACTACTATCCTAGGTTCAGTGTACTACTATCCTAGGTTCAGTGTACTACTATCCTAGGTTCAGTGTACTACTACTCTCCTAGGTTCAGTGTACTACTATCCTAGGTTCAGTGTACTACTACTCTCCCAGGTTCAGTGTACTACTATTCTCCCAGGTTCAGTGTACTACTATTCTCCCAGGTTCAGTGTACTACTACTCTCACAGATTCAGTGTACTACTACTCTCCCAGGTTCAGTGTACTACTGTCCTAGGTTCAGTGTACTACTATCCTAGGTTCAGTGTACTACTATCCTAGGTTCAGTGTACTACTATCCTAGGTTCAGTGTACTACTACTCTCCTAGGTTCAGTGTACTACTATCCTAGGTTCAGTGTACTACTACTCTCCCAGGTTCAGTGTACTACTACTCTCCCAGGTTCAGTGTACTACTACTCTCCCAGGTTCAGTGTACTACTATCCTAGGTTCAGTGTACTACTACTCTCCCAGGTTCAGTGTACTACTATTCTCCTAGGTTCAGTGTACTACTACTCTCCCAGGTTCAGTGTACTACTATTCTCCCAGGTTCAGTGTACTACTACTCTCCCAGGTTCAGTGTACTACTATTCTCCCAGGTTCAGTGTACTACTACTCTCCCAGGTTCAGTGTACTACTACTCTCCCAGGTTCAGTGTACTACTACTCTCCCAGGTTCAGTGTACTACTACTCTCCCAGGTTCAGTGTACTACTACTATCCTAGGTTCAGTGTACTACTACTCTCCCAGGTTCAGTGTACTACTACTCTCCCAGGTTCAGTGTACTACTACTCTCCCAGGTTCAGTGTACTACTACTCTCCCAGGTTCAGTGTACTACTACTCTCCCAGGTTCAGTGTACTACTACTCCCCCAGGTTCAGTGTACTACTATCTCCCAGGTTCAGTGTACTACTACTCTCCAGGTTCAGTGTACTACTACTCTCCCAGGTTCAGTGTACTACTACTCTCCCAGGTTCAGTGTACTACTACTCTCCCAGGTTCAGTGTACTACTACTATCCTAGGTTCAGTGTACTACTACTCTCCCAGGTTCAGTGTACTACTACTCTCCCAGGTTCAGTGTACTACTACTCTCCCAGGTTCAGTGTACTACTACTCTCCCAGGTTCAGTGTACTACTACTCTCCCAGGTTCAGTGTACTACTACTCCCCCAGGTTCAGTGTACTACTACTCTCCCAGGTTCAGTGTACTACTACTCTCCCAGGTTCAGTGTACTACTACTCTCCCAGGTTCAGTGTACTACTACTCTCCCAGGTTCAGTGTACTACTACTCTCCCAGGTTCAGTGTACTACTACTATCCTAGGTTCAGTGTACTACTACTCTCCCAGGTTCAGTGTACTACTACTCTCCCAGGTTCAGTGTACTACTACTCTCCCAGGTTCAGTGTACTACTACTCTCCCAGGTTCAGTGTACTACTACTCTCCCAGGTTCAGTGTACTACTATCCTAGGTTCAGTGTACTACTACTCTCCTAGGTTCAGTGTACTACTACTCTCCCAGGTTCAGTGTACTACTACTCTCCCAGGTTCAGTGTACTACTATTCTCCCAGGTTCAGTGTACTACTATCACAGGTTCAGTGTACTACTACTCTCACAGGTTCAGTGTACTACTACTCTCCCAGGTTCAGTGTACTACTACTCTCCCAGGTTCAGTGTACTACTACTCTCCCAGGTTCAGTGTACTACTACTCTCCCAGGTTCAGTGTACTACTACTCTCCCAGGTTCAGTGTACTACTACTCTCCCAGGTTCAGTGTACTACTACTCTCCCAGGTTCAGTGTACTACTACTCTCCCAGGTTCAGTGTACTACTACTCTCCCAGGTTCAGTGTACTACTACTCTCCCAGGTTCAGTGTACTACTACTCTCCCAGGTTCAGTGTACTACTATTCTCCCAGGTTCAGTGTACTACTATCACAGGTTCAGTGTACTACTACTCTCCCAGGTTCAGTGTACTACTACTCTCCCAGGTTCAGTGTACTACTACTCTCCCAGGTTCAGTGTACTACTACTCTCCCAGGTTCAGTGTACTACTACTCTCCCAGGTTCAGTGTACTACTACTCTCCCAGGTTCAGTGTACTACTACTCTCCCAGGTTCAGTGTACTACTACTCTCCCAGGTTCAGTGTACTACTACTCTCCCAGGTTCAGTGTACTACTACTCTCCCAGGTTCAGTGTACTACTACTCTCCCAGGTTCAGTGTACTACTACTCTCCCAGGTTCAGTGTACTACTACTCTCCCAGGTTCAGTGTACTACTACTCTCCCAGGTTCAGTGTACTACTACTCTCCCAGGTTCAGTGTACTACTACTCTCCCAGGTTCAGTGTACTACTACTCTCCCAGGTTCAGTGTACTACTACTCTCCCAGGTTCAGTGTACTACTACTCTCCCAGGTTCAGTGTACTACTACTCTCCCAGGTTCAGTGTACTACTACTCTCCTAGGTTCAGTGTACTACTACTCTCCCAGGTTCAGTGTACTACTACTCTCCCAGGTTCAGTGTACTACTACTCTCCCAGGTTCAATGTGAACTTCACAAACTTAAACACAAGAATAGGTTCATCCATTCTCCAACGCTTAACGTAAAACCCTACAGTTGTGAACCCTCACGTAGAAACAGAACACGGGACTAGTAACATGAAGTGATGATGGTAGGAAAAATATACTAAATACAATAATAATAATAATAATAATAATAATAATAATATTACTATTTCTACCAGTACATGTACAAGGTATACAAGTACATGTACAAGGTATACAAGTACATGTACAAGGTATAAAGTACATGTACAAGGTATACAAGTACATGTACAAGGTATACCAGTACATGTACAAGGTATACAAGTACATGTACAAGGTATACAAGTACATGTACAAGGTATACAAGTACATGTACAAGGTATACAAGTACATGTACAAGGTATACAAGTTCATGTACAAGGTATACCAGTACATGTACAAGGTATACCAGTACATGTACAAGGTATACAAGTACATGTACAAGGTATACAAGTACATGTACAAGGTATACAAGTACGTGTACAAGGTATACATGTACAAGGTATATAAGTACATGTACAAGGTATACAAGTACATGTACAAGGTATACAAGTACATGTACAAGGTATACATGTACAAGGTATACAAGTACATGTACAAGGTATACAAGTACATGTACAAGGTATACAGATCATAGCTGACATCAGTGACATACTACTATATAGAAAGTCCCTTGTTATGCTGAGCATTTCCCGCAAATTAGGTCAGTTTTGTCCCAGGATGTGACCCACACCAGTCCACTAACACCCAGGATGTGACCCACACCAGTCCACTAACACCCAGGATGTGACCCACACCAGTCCACTAACACCCAGGATGTGACCCACACCAGTCCACTAACACCCAGGATGTGATCCACACCAGTCCACTAACACCCAGGATGTGATCCACACCAGTCCACTGACACCCAGGATGTGACCCACACCAGTCCACTAACACCCAGGATGTGACCCACACCAGTCCACTAACACCCAGGATGTGACCCACACCAGTCCACTAACACCCAGGATGTGACCCACACCAGTCCACTAACACCCAGGATGTGACCCACACCAGTCCACTAACACCCAGGATGTGATCCACACCAGTCCACTGACACCCAGGATGTGACCCACACCAGTCCACTAACACCCAGGATGTGACCCACACCAGTCCACTAACACCCAGGATGTGACCCACACCAGTCCACTAACACCCAGGATGTGACCCACACCAGTCCACTAACACCCAGGATGCCACTCACACCAGTCCACTAACACCCAGGATGCCACTCACACCAGTCCACTAACACCCAGGTACCCATTTTACTGATAGGTGAACATGAACAGCAGTACCGGGAATCGAATCTCGGAGCTCACTGCATGAGCTAAGTGCGCTACCAACCGAGCTACGGGACACCTTATCATATTTACTTACAAATCTATTAAGAATGCTTCCACTCTTCAACCAGCCTACAACTAAAGAAATACTTCCTAACAACCCAACTTGCTCGTTAGCACCTGTGACCCATTGCTTCCCCTGTAAAAATTCCCCAACAAACTCGCATACCTCTCAGAAATCATTAGTAAGTTTATTCAGGTACACATATATACAGATACATACATTATTATTCATAGCAACGTGTATATAATTATTAATTACCTATAATGACCAAAATAGTCAAAGTGACTTATTTCAATTGGGGTCCTTTATTACGTGTTATAAAGTACTACTAGGTATAACCCCACTGTTAGAAAAGTACCTGAAATTCCCATACAGGTGTAGGATATACTTATAGGTCATTATTACCTGCCACAGGTCGTCAGGTGAGAGGTTCCCCGGCTACTGGGAGAATATTGCCATCCCTCACGCCATTCATTCTCTCCCGCTGCATCAAAGAAAATGTAATCAGAGAACGACGCTTGTTAGAGAAAACGATGTTGAAGGACATACTTTCTTAAAATGAATTGCCCGTGTTAACTGTCGCAGTTTAGAATTGTGTCCTAACCTGAGTGTGTCTTGTCATGGAAGTTAGTTTATCGACACACACTGAGGTATTTTATTAATGGGAATTGACTTCTGGATACCTGTAATACCCACACATCATGTTTTAAGTAGTTTATTATCAATATATTTTATTTTTATCGTGGGTGAAATTGACGGCTACCATATCCTGTGGCCTTTTTAAGGGAAACCCCAAGGAAGGAAGCCCTTGTCTTGGGAAGGTTTCCCCTGTTTCATATAATTAGTATGTGTATTTAGTGAACACTATAACTCAATATATTAAGCTTCACTTGTGTATCATTGACGCAAATTTTTAATGAGGATATGAAACAACAGTGCAATAAGATCACAGTAAACAGGTGATTTCAGAATATGCAAAACAACCACTCTGAAAGAATAGAGAAATTCTAAGCGCTTTCGTGACTACTCACATTATCAAGGAACTATGAAAGTAAAGCATCCAAGGAAGGTAAATAAGGGGTCTGGCCAACACCTCACTATCAGATCCCACAACGGTTAAACACCTGACGCGCGCCGGCCCAACTGGACAGGTCCTTTGCACAACCCACCAACAAACTATTCTACCCAAGAAAATTTTAAAAATTATTATTTGTCAAGTGTATTATTAAATTCTTCCCAAATTTTATTAATTATAAATGGATCTAATTTATATAAACCAAAGGAAATATTCATATTATTGTCAAAACTGCTTTTTATGAAACAAGATTCAATTACGTTCCTGTCGACCATGGACTTGCTTGATACAACTTTCTCAACTTTTTGAAAATCAATTGGATGGTTAAAATCTCTTACGTGAATAAGTAGAGCATTGGAATCTTGTCCAGTTCTAATGCAATATTTATGTTGTTTTAATCTTAGTTCGAGACTTTTACCAGTTTGTCCATAATAAACTTTATCGCAAATTTTACAAGGAATCTTATAGACACATCCATCAGCATTTTGGGGGGAATTCTCTATCAAAAGTTTTTTACTGTATCAAGATTTTTTAATACAACTTTAATATTAAAAGTCTTAAGAAGAAAAGGCATATCAACCAAGTTTTCATGGTAAAGGAGAACCAACATATTTTTAGTTGAATAAGGCTGGTTGTCCCTTTTTGGATTGTAAAAAGTATTTCTAGCAACTTTAAAAGATTTATCAATTACATTTCTTGGGTATTTTAAATCATTACCTATTTCATAAATTTTGGATATTTCCTCATCTATGAACTCTGGACTACAAATTCGTAAAGCTCTCAAAAACATTGATGAGAAAACAGACAGTTTGACTCTATCTTGATGGGAAGAATAATAGTGGACATAGGAACAGTTATTTGTAGGTTTTCTGTAAATTTTAAATTTGAATTCATTATTACCCTTAATAATTAAAACATCTAGAAAAGGCAATGAGTTATTTTCCTCAAACTCAACAGTAAAGTTTATAGAATGGGCTAAGCTATTTAATTTGCCAATGAAATGGTGTATATCTACATTCTTGGGCATAAGACAAAATATCATCAACATATCTGAACCATTTAGCTCTATTAGGGAGGACTGTGTTAAGCAACCTTGTTTCAAAAAATTCCATGTATACGTTACTAAGAACAGGTGAAAGAGAATTTCCCATTGCCATACCAAACTTCTGAGTGTAAAACTTATCATTAAATACAAATTTTGCATCAACAATGCAAAGTTTAATAAGTTTAATGAAAGTAGGAACTGGCAATGGTAAATCATAATTAACGAGTTCTTCAGATAAGAAACTTAATAAATCATCAACAGGAACTTTCGTAAACAAGGAAGTAACATCAAAACTAACCATGTTAAAATAATTTAAGTCAGTCAAGGAGCTTAATTTATCAACTAAATCCATGTTGATTTTAACATTAAAGTTAGAAATTTTGCCAACAATAGGGCTCAAAATATCAACAAGCCATTTGGATAATTTATATGAAACTGACCCTATGGAGCTAATAATTGGTCTGACTGGATTCCCTGGTTTGTGTGTTTTTATTAGTCCATACATGTAAGGTAAAGATGGATTAGTGGAAATAAATTGTTTGACTAATTCATCTTTGCCTTTGTTGGCAAAATTTCTAACTTTAATGTTAAAAACAACATAGACTTAGTTGATAAATTAAGCTCCTTGACTGACTTAAATGATTTTAACATGGTTAGTTTTGATGTTACTTCCTTGTTTACGAAAGTTCTTGTTGATGATTTATTAAGTTTCTTATCTGAAGAACTTGTTAATTATGATTTACCATTGCCAGTTCCTACTATCATTAAACTTATTAAACTTTGCATTGTTGATGCAAAATTTGTATTTAATGATAAGTTTTACACTCAGAAGTTTGGTATGGCAATGGGAAATCCTCTTTCACCTGTTCTTAGTAACATATACATGGAATTTTTTGAAACAAGGTTGAATAACACAATCCTCCCTAATAGATATGTTGATGATATTTTGTCTCTTATGCCCAAAAATGTAGATATACACCATTTCCTTGGAAAATTAAATAGCTTAGCCCATTCTATAAACTTTACTGTTGAGTTTGAAGAAAATAACTCATTGCCTTTTCTAGATGTTTTAATTATTAAGGGTAATAATGAATTCAAATTTAAAATTTACAGAAAACCTACAAATAACTGTTCCTATGTCCACTATTATTCTTCCCATCAAGATAGACTCTGTTTTCTCATCAATGTTTTTGAGAGCTTTACGAATTTGTAGTCCACAGTTCATAGATGAGGAAATATCCAAAATTTATGAAATAGGTAATGATTTAAAATACCCAAGAAATGTAATTGATAAATCTTTAAAAGTTGCTAGAAATACTTTTTGCAATCCAAAAAGGGACAACCAGCCTTATTCAACTAAAAATATGTTGGTTCTCCCTTACCATGAAAACTTAGTTGATGTGCCTTCTCTTCTTAAGACTTTTAATATTAAAGTTGTATTCAAAAATCTTGATACAGTAAAAAATCTTTTGATAAAGAATTCCCCCCAAAATGCTGATGGATGTGTCTATAAGATTCCTTGTAAAATTTTTGATAAAGTTTATGGTCAAACTGGTAAAAATCTCGAACTAAGATTAAAACAACATAAATATAGCATTAGAACTGGACAAGATTCCAATGCTCTATTTATTCATGTAAGAGATTTTAACCATCCAATTGATTTTCAAAAAGTTGAGAAAGTAGTATTAAGCAAGTCCATGGTCGACAGGAATATAATTGAATCTTGTTTCATAAAAAGCAGTTTTGACAATAATATGAATATTTCCTTTGGTTTATATAAATTAGATCCATTTATAATAGAATTTGGGAAGAATTTAATGATACACTTGACAAATAATAATTTTTAAAATTTTCTTGGGTAGAATAGATTGTTGGTGGGTTGTGCAAAGGACCTGTCCAGTTGGGCCGGCGCACGTCAGGTGTTTAACCGTTGTGGGATCTGATAGTGAGGTGTTGGCCAGACCCCTTATTTACCTTCCTTGGATGCTTTACTTTCATAGTTCCTTGATAATGTGAGTAGTCACGAAAGCGCTTGGAATTTCTCTATTCTTTCACAGTGGTTGTTTTGCATATATATATATATATATAATTTTAATATATATAATATATACAAATGTATCTCCTAAATCTTCTGTATCATATTATGTAATAAAATATTCCTATTGGTAAAAAAAATATATACTAAAAATGGGGTGGTAGGGGAAGTGGAATATTCAAACGGCTTCAGGAAGAAATCCAAATATTCTCCTTGAAGCTTTTTATGCACTTCTCGAGGCTTGGGTCCCACAATTTACACCAGAGGTGGACCCCATTATATATAAATATATATATATATATATATTATATATATAATATATTATATATATATATTAATATATACGTATATATAAACATACAAAATAAGTAATATTTCAAATTAAATTTTGATGTAGACTAGAATTTTGTTGCTTAATAATTTTATGATCATGTTGGTGGAAAATACTTGATATATAATAAATTAGTTAGCTAGATCTTCTATGAGGGAGCTGCAAGATGAGGCAGACACAGTTAGCTAGATCTTCTATGAGGGAGCTGCAAGATGAGGCAGACACAGTTGCTAGATCTTCTATGAGGAGCTGCAGAGGCACACAGTTAGCTAGATCTTCTATGAGGGAGCTGCAAGATGAGGCAGACACAGTTCCTCTAAGTATATCAGAAAAAATATCGTCAATTAGGCTATTATAGCTAGCAAATGTACATGCCCTGACTAGCAACAAATAATTTATTGCTATTGATTAAAAGGACAACCCATAAAATTTGTTTTATTTTCTTGATGTGATGTTTGATAAAGAAATGTTAATTCTTAGCCTATATGTTAGTATATATTTGTCTATTGAAAGCTGTCTACTTTGTCTCTGCTGTCACATAAGTTCCCCTCAAGGGAGGTTCCTCGACGCTCTTGACCTAGCGAAATGGATCTGTGCTCCAGTTCCCTGAACCGAGCCTGAATGCCTTCCATCCCCCACAGGCACTGTATAAGAAAAAAGGAACACTACAACAGGTCTACTGGCTTTTGTGAGGCAGGTCCAATTCTCACTGACCGTTTGACCTCATTGACCTAGTGAGGTCAGACACGTTACTTAAGGTAGGAGCACAGCATTCCACCTAGTAGCACAAGCTAGTCAGGTCCAACTCACACCCTCTCATGTATTTATCTAACCTATTTTTAAAACTACACAACGTCATAGTTTCTACATGTATATGCATATACAGTGGACCCCCGCTTAACGATCACCTCCCAATGCAACCAATTATGTAAGTGTATTTATGTAAGTGCGTTTGTACGTGTATGTTTGGTGGTCTGAAATGGACTAATCTACTTCACAATATTCCTTATGGGAACAAATTCGGTCAGTACTGGCACCTGAACATACTTCTGGAGTGAAAAAATATCGTTAACCGGGGGTCCACTGTACATGTATCTGCTTACTAGTTTATAATCTTTACAAGTATAGCGCCTAATTTAACTAACAAGTGCATGAATTGTACTCACTTGTGGTTGTACGGGTCTGAATGACAATGTTTAATGTCAGGTTTTTATTATTAATTTTAATCAAGATTATTATTATTATTATAATCAAGGGGAAGCGCTAAACCCGGAGGATTATACAGCGCCTGGGGGGGGGGGATGTGGAAGGCATTCAGGCTTAATTCGGGGAACTGGAGCACAGATCCAATTCCCTAAATCAAGAGCCCCTCACTAACATCAAGGAACCTTCCTTGAGGGGATTTTAATCAAGAGTAAACATTAAAGTGATGGGTATCACATAGTGACTGGGAAATGGGAGGTATTAAAGTTCGAAAAAAAAATGATTTTTATATAAGATGGAGATTCACTGCCTCAGATCTAAATAAAGACTTAAAGGAAATATGTTAGATATTCTATAGGCTTTTTAATTATTTTGTTTCAATAAGTTTTGATGGGTTTATAATTATCATGGGGAAGTGCTAAGCCCATAAGGATTGTACCATGCCTGTGTGGGGGGAAGAGATGGAAAGCATTCAGGGAATTGGAG